TAAGATGGATACAGAAGTCAAAACCCTGCTGCCCAAACCACCCACTCTGTGTTTTCCTCCCTCTGCCACCTCAATCCAATATGTATAATAGCCCTTCCCAAACTAATATTTCGGATTACAATCCTCATCAGCCCCAACATCCATCCAGCAAGGTCAATGGCCAGGAGCAATGGGAATTGTAGTCCTAAACTTTTAGAAGGTATCATGTTGGGGAAAGCTAATCCAGTGAAACAAAAGGCGTGGTGTGGCTTTAAAAAAAAACCCACTAAGTTTCTCTGCTTATTTTGATTTCTTTTGCTACCACATTTGGAGTGAGATAGTCATACAGAGGAGGGGCAGGATCTATTCTCGATCATCCCAGACTGCAGGACAGATAATAATAGGTTCAAACTACAGGAAGCCAGATGTAGGCTATATATCAGGGAAAACTTCTTAACTGTTAGATTAGTACAACAATAGAACCAATTACCTCAGGAGGTTGTGAGCACTCCAGCACTGAAGGCATTCAAGAGAAAATGGAACAACCATCTGTCAGATTTGGATTCCTATCTTGATCAGGGGGTTGGACATGATGGCCTTATAGGCCCCTCAATTGTTCTATGATTCTATGCGCTCTTTCTTTTTTCTTTTTCCCTAAGGGAAACACAAACACAACAAATCTCTTTACATATTCCTAGAGAAGAAAAGATATATGGCCACTCCATTCAGCATCAGCCATATTATCATCACCATCATCTCTCCTTCTTCATCACATACCCTTTATTTCTAATATTAAGACACAAGTGATTTCATTCAGTTCTCAGAAAAGTCCCATCTGACTGCAAGAAAAAGGCAGTAGTAAAAGCTTGGGGCACTCCCAGCATTTGTTGTGATGTGCCACAAAGTCAAATTCAGAAACGTCCTGTCAGCAACAGCCCTGCACAGGTCTTGCAAATTAAAGACCATAACATCTTTTATTGAGTCCATCTCACACTACGTCTTCCTCTTTTCCTACTGCTTTCCACTTTGCCTGGTATCATTGTCTATTCCAGGTACTCTTTTCTTCTCATGAAATGGACAAAGCACTATAACCTCAATTCAATAGTTTCAGGTTCTAGTGAGAGTTTACATTTGATTTGATCTACTTACTTGTGTTTCATCCCAATGTTTGCAGAAGTGCAAAAATATTTAAATTAGAAACTCAGAGTGAGGAAAACTCCCAATTGTGCAATGGCAACAAAACATGCTCAACAGCAACAGAATCGCTGACAGATGATGGGAGCGAGTGGCAACCAGGAAAATTTGTGGAGGGGTGTCAGAATAGAATATCATAGAGGAGTCCATAGCTACCTGACCTGAACCAAGAGCAGGAATATTCCATACTACAACATTTTGTAACAGGTCTCCCTCATACCTTCCATTTCTAATGTTTTATTGTGTGTTGGAAATTAACCCTGTTCATCCCTGAATATGGTGTTTGTTGTAATCAGCACTTTTGGTAACAAATGCAAAGACAGGTGATGCTTTTGTTAAGAGCCACTAAAAATAAATAAAAATAAATGCTAGCTTTCAATCTGTACAAGACTTCATCAGGCTAGTATAGGTTGAAAGCTAGTATTTATTTATTTATGTTTTTATTGATCTAACAAAAGTCCTTGCTTTTGTGTTGTCTAAGAACCATGCGGCTTTGTTTGTTTGGGGAGTCAATGTCTGCTTTGTAGCAAAAGTGGGGGGAGTGAAGATGAAGAAGAGATAAAATTACTTCGCCCCTTTGCTTCAGAACCATTCATGGTTGGCTTTGGCCAAAGAAACTGACATGTACTAAGCACCTAAGAAGGTACTTCTTGCTGCAGACATAATGTGTGAGGTGACCCTTTGAATGGCATAGCTGTGAAACAAGTTGGACCTATGAGATGCTTAACGCTCTCAGTATCATGAAGAAGAGGAAGTGTATTGGATCTAGTAGCATGTAGTGGCTGCAGTGTTGGACTGAGAATGGAAAAGCTATGTTTAAGTCTTTACTGAACCATGAAAGTAGGTAATCATGACCTACCTCGTAGGTTGTTGTTGTGAACATAAGTAGGGAGCAACTTGTACCCTGACTTGAGCTTATTGGAGGAAAGGTGGGTTACAAATGTAGCCAACACAATTATTTATGTAGCTAGAAATTCCTTGTTTCTGGGAGAATACAGAAAAAATAAAGACAATAATCTGAGTCTCAGTTTTCTGCTCAGTGCTAAAATATACTAGTTGCCAGGAGCAGCTCAAGACCTTTTGTCTGAACAGAAAAACAAGACGGCACCTCTTCTGTTCCATGTACAACAAGCTGATTAGATTTGCAGTTATGTCTCAGTTCATCCCTGCCAATAGTTCAGCTGCACCTGATGGCCAGAGATGGGCTGGCACACACATAGACAGCTGCCCCGTCCTGTCTAATGAGAGGGAATGGCCCTGCTTTGTTCGGAAAAGTATCTCAGCAATTTATCAGTCAAGCTATAGAATAATATTTTGTAACGTTAGTGCAACAAAGATTATTTGGAAAGATGTGCTCAAGTAATAATGATGCAGTTCTGTTCTTCAGTTGAGAGCAGATGACTCCTCTGAGACACTTTAAAGAGGAGACGGTTAAAGCCTGTTACTTCAGTTTCACAACAAAAAATCAATTCGTTATAGCAAGGGCTCCCCTTTGAAGTTAACCTTTCTAATTCTTCTGTTTTGAGCACCAAATTATTGAATTGTTCCTCCCAGATCAGTTTGGTGCTGAAAGGGATAAAGGAACAGAAGCAGTGAGTGCTTTGACTTTGTAATCACAAGGGAGTGGTATGTAGGCTAACTGGAGAGATTCAGAAATAGACATATAGGGAGGTTTTAGAAAGTCTTAGACGTTGGCTTCTTTTTTGTGAACAGAAATGAATTATTCATGTTGATTAAAGGTCAGAATAGATCGTAGAAACTACCCCCCCTTTTCTTACTTCATAGCTACAGGCTGCAGGAGTTTCCAAATTCCAGTTGACAAAATGCATTGTGTGTGTGTGGGAGGGAGGGATTTTAATTTCGTGTGTGTGTGTGGGGGGGTGTTTGGTTCCTTTTAGTGCTTTTCTGTGGAATAATTTCTCAATCAAAATTGTCCTTCCAAATTATTTTCTTGCTTTTCTGTCTGTCTATAAGGAAGAGAAAGAGAGAAGGGTGCTGAGCTCTTCCCAGGCATAGACCATGGCATTGGTCAGAGCTGGGAAATAATTTAGTTGCTTCAGACAATATAGTTACCTGTAACAATTTCTTTCTTTCTTTCTTTCTTTCTTTCTTTCTTTCTTTCTTTCTTTCTTTCTTTCTTTCTTTCTTTCTTTCTTTCTTTCTTTCTTTCTTTCTTTCTTTCTTTCTTTCTAATGAGGACATCAAGGATAAATAAGTACATAGAAACACTGTTACCAAGTTGTGTAAGGGAAGTCATGTAAGTTGTGGCAACAAATTGCTGGTCATCGATGCTGTGTTCTTGGGTGCCAGCTCAAGAATTCAGCCAGTGCAGCCGGGATGGGAGGGTTGGTGTTGAAAGGGAATTCCATGTCCTAATGCTCCGTGTTGATCTGGAAGCTTTGGGAAGCAGCAAAGCATACAGGGATGTATCAACAGACAAAAGTACTAGTGCAGTAGATGTCAGACTCATTTGGCCCAGAGGAAGACCCAGGGTGAAAAGATCTGAACAAAAGTACAGCCAGCATTGTAAAGCTCCCTGAGTGCTCATTGGAAACAGGTGGACACCAGAGAGAGGTTGCTGGGATCAGTACATTCTGTGCATGCTGCCTGTGGACACTTTTTGGGAGACAGAATGGAATTTCTCCTCTCACCTGTTGTTCTGTACTGCTTATCTAGAATCCTAAGAACTTTGACAAATGTTTAGTTTGCCTGCTCCCTATTGTGACCTATTCAGACTAAATTAACAGCTTGATCCTTGGACAGTACTGACCTCCTCATTCATAAATAAAGACTGGTTTAAGAGGATGCAGCCACTTGCTTGCTGCCTGTCCTGACACATAACACTGTTACTTATAAAATTTGTCTTGCAAATAGAAATCACCAATAAAATTCTGGCTAATCAAGTAAATATCCACGCTCTGTTCCTGATCAAATAATATCCCTAATTGCCTTTCCTTTGACAAGGAACTCTCTTCTCCTCTGTTCACATTTAGAGCCACCTATATTTGCATTATATATATTTTTAAATTCTTGCACAGGAAAAACTCCTGAGAAGGGCTGATTCCTTGATCACCATCCCTTGTACCTACATCTGTGCAGGCATCCAAAAGAGAGAATAATCTGCACGGTTTCTGCAGCAACAGTGGTTCTAAGTATTCTGGCATTAGATCCTCACTGGTTCTATGGGTACAGTGTGACTGATTATGAGCATTGATATACTGTACCTCTTTTGCTCTTGATTCTCTGATGTTGGAGAAAAGTTGGCTGTTCTTTTTGGCACACTAAGACCAAACAAACATTACATATAACATGTCATTAGAACATGGAGTTCCTTAAGTGCTAAAAATGTTTGATAGTAACAAAAGGAGCTTTTTATGCCTTCCACAAATTAGCTTTCTTTGTTTTATGATTTGTCATTGGCTAGCGGTGGAGTGGGGTAAACACCAGGCTTTGTCTGCAGGTATGACCACTCATACAGAAAGATCTTCTAAATTAAATCTCATCAATGCTAATCGATGTTGGCTTCTAATGATAGATTACCATTAAGTTCTAATTTGTAAATAGCAAAATGAAATGGTAACAAATGCTATCAAGACGTTGGACAGAAGATAATATGGGAGGAGCACGGCTGTGATGAAAGTACCTATCTTTTCAACTTGCTGTCAGGATCCTTCACCATTCACCATGTTAGCAGGAGCTGATGATAAACCTGAAGTTCAAAATGTCACCAACCTGAGGAAGGCTATGTTACATTTCTTCTCACTGCTTTGTGTACTCAGTGAGGAAAACATTATAATATCTTGCTCTTTTCTCTTTTCTTCTTTTAGATCTGCTGCTAGATGACATTGTCCTCACTCATTCATTGTTCCTGCCAACAGAGCAGTTCCTGCACCAGTTGCACCAGCAATATCCTTCACAAATGATGTTAGAAGCTGCTTTAAGAATGACAGCGTTGTGGGGGCTGTCTGCATGGCTGTGAGCTGCGTCATTGTGGCATATTTAATTTCAGGAAAAAACCTATCTATCTCACTTATTTGTATCCCTGGTTCTCATTGCCAAGAGCTTTGTGAAATTTGTCTTTCTGCATACACACTTCATGACTAAATTTTTTCTTGTACAGTTTGTTTAGTCCAGGAGTGGCCAGTTGGAGTCCTCCAAAGGAATGTAAAAGTTATTGCATGGACTACAACTTTCAGAGTACAGTGGTACCTCTACTTACAAACTTAATCCATTCCAGAACGTTCGTAAGTAGAAGCACCAATTCCCATAGGAATGCATTGAAAACCGATTAATCCGTTCCAGCTGAAGAAGAAAAAATACAACCCCCCAAAAAAACAAACAAACACTGCAAGCCCCTGGGGCTGCAAAAAACTAAACAAATAAAAAAACCATAACCCCACCAGCTCAATCCCACCCTGCAAAAGCCACCCAAAACAGTTTTTAAAAAGCAACACCTTACCTCCGCCGCTGCAACCGCTGCTGCCAGGAGGCTTCCCGAGCTCCAGACGCTGCTGCTGGGGCACGGCTTCACCGCCGATGCCGCAAGCTTTCCTGGGGTTCACCGCAAGCGCCGCCTTTCTCACCCACTGTGCGGCTTCTCTGCCACCATGGGAGGCTTTCCTGGGGCTTTCCCCAATTGCCGCCTTTCTCCACCGCCATCCTCTGCCAGGCCAGGGTTTCCGCGCCACTGATGCAGGCTTGGTAGGGCCAGTCTATAAGCCTGGGAAAGCCTGCATCGGCGGCGCTTGTGGTGAACTCTGGGAAAGCCTGTGGCGGTGGTGCTGGAAGCCCGAGAGGCTGAGCCCAGCTGGGATGGTCCGGCGGCTCGCCTCCTGGTGGCGGTAGCAGCGGTGCTGGAAGCCCGGGAGGCTGAGCCTCCTTTTGTCTAACCATTGGGGCAAAAGAGCTACAAAGAAGCAACCTTTTCGCCACCAACGGTTTGAATTTCCCGCCCTTTTCCTCTGCCTTTTTCATTTGTATCTTGAAGCTCTGGCTGTAAGTAGAAGCAAAATTTTGCAGCCGGAGCTGTTCGTAGATTGGATCATTCGTAGGTAGGGACGTTCGTAAGTAGAGGTTCCACTGTAATTTTGGCAACATCACTACGGCTATGCTTGCTAGGGCAGCTTGGGAACTCACTCCAGATGTTGTATTGCAGCTTCTATCATATTTCATAATTGGCTATGTTGGCTGGAGCCATCCAGCATCGAGGTTCACATGTTGCCCATTCTGACATAGGCTCCAGAGAATTCTAGCTACATTTTAAAATCCTAGCTCTTTTAAAAAAAGTTTCTAGCCCTGTGGCTTGAAAATGTGTGAATAAACAGATGATATCTCTGAAGCAACTTGGGCTTCTAGTAGTTAGGGGCTGTTTTGCTTCAGTAGTCTTGATTTTCTATGGGGCTAGAAAAAGCTAAATGTATTGGGTAAAAACCTATTAGTGTTCCTGTAAGGTCTGTATAATTTACATGGTTAAGTGTAGTTAATTAACAAGATACTGGGTTGTATCTTCGTTGTGCAGGTGAAGTGCCCAATAACTTACTGGTTAGCTGCCATTAGCCATGGACATTTACACAGACTTTACATTAACATCAGTAGGATTCTGGCCATTGTGTTATATGATCAAACAGAATGAAAATGAGCCTTAAAAGTCTTGTGGCTCACATAGCAAATATTACCCCTCATATGTATCTTTTAACCCTTTGACTATAGGCAAAATCATGCCCACATCTGTCTTTTGACACCTGTTGGCATTTAAACATTCCATGTCTTGACGTGTATCTTCTAGAAGGAGGATGTGATGCAGTGTCAAGAGGAAGAACTACCAGCCTATTTCTTATTTATGAAAAGATTACATAACTTGATGAAAGAGGCTATGTTTTTAATGGATGAAATCCCAGGTTCAACTAGGAAGGAGCACATGTACACACACGAATGTGTGTACACACACACACACACACACACACACACACACACACACACACACACACGTCTCAGAAAGTATTCAGGCTTCATAGGGCAGTCATGTTTTTTGTCTTAGTCTTCAACCTGTTATTATATTCTCCAAAGGGCATCCATCTTGTTTTCTCAAATGCTAGGAGAGGCTTCCTTCCTTTTCATGCTGTGTAAGTAATGAGGCAGATGTGGTCACCACAAAGTGTAAATCGGCCAGGAAGCTTACTGAGTGACCTTGAACAAAGTCATTCTTTCAGGCCCAAAACGGATTGTGATAGTGAGCTGTGAGAGGAACCATCAACTCATGTTTCCTCAGCATCTTTCCTAGAGACAAGTGTTGGGGGGAAAAAGGTTATCTCATAGGATTTCCCCCATTTCCTGCTTTGCTTTATTGAGGAGAGCAGGGAAATGATTGACCATAAGTGCAGAAATGTGTGTCAAAGATACCATCATGTCCTTCCTATCATTTGTACTTTTGGGTTTCAGTCCAGCTGGGGTGTCCAGATGCAATCTGTATTTCATGCTGGTGTTGAAGAGGAAATTTGAGCAGAGGTAGTTGGGCATGTACGAGCCTGGAAATGTTACTTTTTTGGACTTCAAATCCCAGAACCTCCGAGTCAGCCATAGTGGCTACAATTATTCTAACAGTTTTAGTCCATGAAAAGGAGTGCTTCAAAGCTCTGTTCAGTGTGGCTTCCTCCCTAGTAAGTGTGTTTAGGATTACAGTGGTACCTCGATTTAGGAACTTAATCCGTATTGGAACGGCATTCGTAAGTCGAAACGTTTATAAGTCGAAGCACCATTTCCCATTGAAATACATGGGGACGGGATTAATCCGTTCCAGCATTAAAAAAAAAACAAAAATAAAAATAAACAGAGCAAGTCCCATGCTGGGACTGCAAGCACACACACACACACATACACATACACAAACACACACACATACACAAAACACACACACAAAAATGCAAAAACAAAACAACACAGGACAGAAACATAACCCCCCCCCAGTCCAAATCCATCCAGAACAGTTTTTTAAAAGGAAAAATGGTTCCTTACTGGTTCAAAGCCTCCTCAGCCTCCCGATGCTCCGCTGCTTCTGCCATGGCCGGGGGCGAGCGGCCGAGTGCCCGGCCAGCTCAAGCCTCCCGGCGCTTTGCTGCTATACTGTAGGGTCCCCTGCCGCCATCGGAGATCTCCTGGGGGTCCCTTTTCCTAACTGTTGGGGTGAAAGAGCAGCCTCTTCGCCACCAGTGGTTTGAATGGAATGGAAAAAAGGCAGGGGAAATTTGAATATCCTGCCCTATTCCCCTGCCTTTTTTCGTTTGCAAGTCAACGCTCCGTTTGCATGTTGAGGCAACATTTTGCGAATGGAGCCATTTGTACTTTGAAACATTCGCAAGTGGAGACGTTTGTAAGGTTCGTACTTCGAAACATTCGCAAGTGGAGATGTTTGTAAGTCGATGTACCACTGTACAACCTTAATTCTATTATGGCCTGTTTGGTGAATATCTCATGCTGCAGGTCTTGTTACACAGAGCTTTTTTTCAAAGAAAAATAATATAATGTAGTTCTTTTTTAAAAAAATCTACATTCTATGTGGGCTTTATTAATTTTAGCCATCAGGTAGCAATTACGCTGTCTCTCCTACCCACTGAACAGCACCTCCTGCATCCACATGCTGCCAACACAAATGTGGTTATTTGTAGATGGGAGAGTTGCTAGTTCCCAGTGACCCTACACACACATGTGCCATCATATGTACACACACACACACACACACACATGCAAGTTCCCAGTGACCATACACACACATGTGCCGTCATATGTACACACACACACACACACACTTGTTCTCCCCTGCTTACTGTATTTTCTTTTTGGGTGGATCATATATGACATCTTGTCTCCTTGTATGAGCTGTTTCAGATACCCGTGTTACCATGCCCCCATTTCATCATACTGCATCTATAGTATGTAGAAACTTGCTTTCTTTTTTTATTTTCCTTGACAGAGACAGATGAACTTAAATAAGCTGGGATTTTCAGGACACACAATTCCTGCAGAGTTACTGTCATTTTAATTCATATTTTTATCACTGCTCTTTTTCTAAGGAGCTCAGGTGCTTTACATGGACCTTGTTCCCCTTTTGAGAAAATACGGGGTTGGGATTGGCCACCTCTGCTCTTTTTCTAAGGAACTCAGGTGCTTTACATGGACCTTGTCCCTCTTTTGCCCTGACAGCAGTTCTCTGAAATGTGTTAGGCTCTGAGAAAATACGGGGTTGGGATTGGCCACCTGTTTGTCTCATTTCCTGCTCTATCATTCTGCAATCTGCACTCACTCTGTTACTACTTGGATCAGATTCACACAGTTCTATCCCACAACTTGTGTCCTCGTTTTCTCTGCCTCTTCCAAACATTGTCTTCTAAAGTTCAATCTTGTGATTTATCCTTGACCTCCCTGTGACTACCTTCATGACAGCATCGACAATCCCATTGCCCTCATGTTGGAAAGAGGGGGAGGCCGTGCACCGGAAGCAAGCGGTTTTGGTTATTTTGCTGCACTTCCTTGAAACATACAAGGGGATCTTGCAGGAGGAGGAGAAAGCAGGCAAAGTCATCAAGGTATTCCATGGCCTTCCTGATGTTACTTTCAAGAGAACTAGAAACTTTAGAGTGTGACCAGATGGCCAGTTATCCTTACCTTCATCAGCGATGGCGAACCCATGGCCCGCGTGCCACAGCTGGCACACAGAGACTTCTCTGCAGGCACGCAAGCCATAAGTGGCCAGATTGCTACCCCTGGCAGCCAAATCTAAGGAGGTGGCTACAGCTGCAGTGCAAGTGCTCCATTGGGCAATTGGCCAGGATCTGGACCAGCTGGTGCTTGCGGGCCAGGATCTGGAGCAGCTGGTGTTGGCGGACCAGCTGTGTTCCCACTGGCCGAGCTATAGACCCTGGTGTGGTTGGGCTCAATTGGAGTCAGATCTGGAGTGGGGTCTGGAGGCACCTCCATACCAAGGATTCTCCCTTCTGCTTCTGTTTCCTCCACCACTTCCACTTCCGCCACCACCCACTGTTTTTTGTTTGGGTTTTTTTTATTGTTGTTGTCCTTGCAGTTTGGGCACGGGCTCAAAAAGGTTCACCATCACTGGTCTAGATCATACTAAACAGGGTTGCTTTGAGTTTGTCATTTGTGGCGATCCTTGCATCCACATGTAAGGATCAACCACACTGCACTTCAGGCAATTTGATTTGCACTATCCACACTGATTTTATTTCCTTGAGAACACAAACAAAATCTGTCTCCTGTCTCATTCTCTGTTCTTTACTTAAGCTGCTTAACCATGTTGAGAAATGGAAAGTTTCCTTTCTGCTCACCTGCAAAGAGGAAGTGAGAGGAAGTTTCCCATTTCTTTTAAATTGTTGCTAAGTGATACAGCACATTAGCGGTGCATTGAAAAGGCTTGAAAGAGCCCTGTCAAAGCATAGTTGTTGAGTTTGTAACAAGTAAAAAGAAGTGAAAAACTTTCCTTTCCATTCCCCTCTGTAGGCAAGCAGTAAAAAAGCTTTCCATTTTTCAAAATCCTTAAATAGCTTAAGCAAAGGGACCACTTGAACCAGTCACTTTGGTTCGATCCCAGCGATCATACACACTAGAAACAAACCAAAACATAGCCAAAGGAACAGTAGTTTCTGATAGGGATCCAAAAAGGTGCAGGTAGGCATTGATCAGGGATGGGCTGGTTTGCTATATCACGTATGTTGCTGAGAAAAGGAACAAACCTGCCTGTCCTCAACCTGGATCAAGCTATGGGGAAAGTGCTTGTCTCATCATACTCTCACTTCTTAAGAAACAGATTGAACTATATTATTGCAGGAGCTGCTTCCCTAAAATGTCACTGCATTGGCCTGAGATGGCAGGGTATCATGTTACAGTAGGTAGGTGTGAATAGGTAAAGCAACCCTCTATTTATTGTCAAGATATGACGTCTCAAGCTACATTCTCTTTTTTTCTAGGACCTGTATCTCCTCATCATGAAGGACTCCTCCCTCTACCACAAATTAGAGGATGACATTCTGAAGCTACATCAGCTTGTGGAGACTGTTGAACTCAAGTAAGTAGAGAGTGGGAATATGGACAGTAGCATTTTAGTTAAAATAATGCTGTTATGGCTATGTTCTTTATGCTGATGATTAGCATTATCTACCTAACATGCCATCTTATTGGACATAGATACTGAGAAGATGAAAAATTAACCTCTTCTGCTGAAAATCAGTTATGTCATATGGTTAGATTTGTTGAAGATAAGCATGACAAATGTGGATTAATATCCCTGTTTTGCCACAGACTCAGGCTGAAACTGGATGTGAAACATAGTAGTATGAGTCTTTCTCCTTTTATTCATGTTTTTAAAAATAAAACAAATCTGGGAGATTGAATTCGAAAGCAGGAAAGATGGGGGGGTCGGTCTGCAGACCCATCTCAAAATGATCCAAAAAGTGATTTGATTTTCCCTTGTATGTATATATTTCCCCTTATGAATAGAAGAGTAGTTTTGAGATATATACAATTTGGGAGGGGAGCATTGGAGGGAAAAGTATAATTATCCTTTGTTTTGTCTGCTTCACTGTTAAACATGACTTTCCAAAGCCTAAAGTAGCATATTAGTTTATTGTGTAATTTCATAGCTGGCTTTGCATCAAAAGGTGCTGAACAGCAATAACGCATGGACAATAAATTATAATAAAATATAAACAAAATGCAAAGTGGAAAACAAAACAAGTCAATAACATCAAATCCATCTAGCTTCATGAGGCCCTGTCTTTCAAATAACAGCCATCATCATCTTCTTGTCAGTGGAATAATGTCTGTGGCAAGCCTATAAAGTAACTGGATATTATGGACTTCATATTAGATATGAAGTGTTGAAGCTGAGATGTTGTGGCTCCCTTTAGGCCACCTAGCAAGTTTGAAGCAAAGCAGAGGATAGAGCTAGGTTCTTCCAGTTCATAGCTTACCTTTTAAACTACTCTGCAACATTGGCTTCTGAATAGTAGCAACTTACCTGTCATAGGGATGTGCTGGTGCTGCAGGCTAAACCGCAGAAACCTCTGCGCTGCAAGGTCAGAAGACCAGCAGTCGTAAGATCAAATCCATGCGACGGAGTGAGCTCCCATCGCTTGTCCCAGCTCCTGCTAACCTAGCAGTTCAAAACATGCAAATGCGAGTAGGTAAATAGGTACCACCACGGTGGGAAGGTAACAGTGTTCTGTGTCTAATCGTACTGGCCACGTGACCATGGAAGATTGTCTTAGGACAAAATGCTGGCTCTATGGCTTGGAGACAGGGATGAGCACCACACCCTAGAGTTGGACACGACTGGACTAAATGTCAAGAACCTTTACCTGTACCTTACCTTTCATAGGACCCCTCATACCAGACTACTCATTACAGGCATTCTACCATGTTATATCCAGTTTTTTTTCTGAGTGACAGCACTCAAAGTGAGCAGGCATGGGGAAGGCTATGAGTCCTGCCTGTGATGATTCTCCCTCCAACATGTCTTCAGCCTGTGAGGCAATGCTTGCTCCAAGGAGTTCAACACCCAAAACCATAATAGGCTGCTATCAGCTCCCATAAAAAGAATATTAACTATGTTAGGACCTTGGACGAAGCTAAGGACTAAATGTCTATTGCCATACTTCCCTTCATTCACCTTCCAATGGCTTGAAAGGATTTGTATAGTTTATTTTTAAAAAGGGGAGAAAGGGGGGGGGAAGGAAAGGAATTTGAAAAGAGGGGGAATAGTTCCGAATAAAAAAATCAAATGTGGTTACAGGATTACAGCATTCAAAAGCAGAAACATAGCAGAAAATATTGAAGAATAGTTTATCCTAAATGTGGGGAGACACTCCATGGGTTCCCTAAAACAGCATCAAATATGGCATGCAAAGGTCTCCTCATGAGTATCACTGCTGCCAAGAAATGAAACACAGCTTCCTTAAAGGTATGCTAAGTTCAGAAAGAGTCAGATTCTGAATTCCCCTTCTATACAAATTATAAACTCCCCATTAACTCCTGAGGCTGACAATAACATAACTACTTGTAATCAGCTTTGATCATTCTTACATACCTCCTTCTCAGCTTCAAAATTTGCATAACCCTCAGGCAAGAAAGCAAGCTGATTCCTATCTCACAAACAATTGATGATTACTTTGATATAAAAAGATAAAGTTTGAGATGTTAGGTTCCACTTTGAAGTTCTCTTGATCTCAGTCCTTCTTGGAAGTGAGCCAGGACAGGAATACAACAACAGGTGATAAGGAAGAGATGTGAACAAGCTATCTCCAGATGTGAACGCTCATGTTCCCATGCTCTTACAGGTACATAGAAAAATCCAGAAGATGAATTTCATTTTTCATGTTCCCTTAATCTATTCATGCTATCATAACTTGAGGGAAATTAGGGATTGCTGCAATGCCACCCAAACAACTTGTATTTTAATGGGATAGATGAAACAGGAGTTGATGCCATGGCTAGGTGGGCTACCGGCCCTACTATTTCCCCAAGTCTTTTCCTTGACTGAGACGTTAACATTGCCCCACAGTGGATGGGATGAGGTTGAATGTGTAATGATGAAGATTTGAATGTGATCTTCCTCATTGGCAAGGAAGAAGGAATGGGCACAGGGGTAGCAACCTTTCTCTTCAGATTATTATCTTATAAGGGAGGAGAAACAACATTCAGTATATGTACAAAGTATTTGTAATAGATGAGAATGAGCAAGGGCCAGTTGTCCTGGCTATCTTCCATCCAAAACTACTTCAGAATCCCTTCATTTTGCACAGAAACTACAACCAGAAGTCCTCAATCGTGCCCAGAATGCCACCTGTTTTCATGCCTTTTTGAATATGTTTTTTGGTGTGTGTCGCCAATGTTGTTTCTTCATCTTTTAAAATCTTGCCTTTTTGGCTGCAGGGTGACAGAAGAAAGCCATCCTCTTAACAAACAAGTCAAACCCCTATTCAGGCATTTCCGGCGCATAGATTCATGTCTCCAGACACGGGTCGCTTTCCGTGGGTCAGATGAAAGTGAGTATCGAACAGACAGTTGCGAGACCAGCTGGCAGTGAGGGTAACAGTGAGGGTTCCTGTTTAGACAGTGTCTTTAAAGATCTGATGAGTTGAAGGATGTGTTATGCAGTGACATCCACAGATGCTTCTCTGTGAATCGGTGAAAGAAGTGTGCAGACTGTATATTGAATCAGGTTCTTTTCCCACTTAGCTCATTATTGCCTACAACGCTGGCTGGTAGCAACTGTCCAAAAGTTTCTGGTAGAGGAGTTGTCAGTGATTGAACATAAGGCATGCAGAACATATGCTCTGTTTTTATGCTATGGCCCCTCTCCTGAACACGAGACAATAGGAATTGGGAGTCCCATAGTAGGGAGTGAGGTTGATGATTAAGGAAACAATGGAAGTGCTAAAGGTTGTCAAGTGTGAAATATAAACACCGTTGATGGGAAATGGGGAGACTTTGCCTCCAAAGGTTGCATAGAAATACTGTAAATAAAAAGTATAAATTATATGAAATAGGTGCTAGGGTTTGAATAATAGAAAGACACCCCCTGCCTCCTTAATCAGGGCATAAGGTTAAGGATCTTGGATATATGGATACCTTAGGGGTTTAGCCATCTGGCTGTGAAGTCAATGATTGGGAATTTGATTCCTCCACTGAGCCTCCCTGACAGGGGCTGGACTTGATGAGCCACAGAATCCCTTCCAGCTCTACAGTTCTAAGATGATGATGATAACAACGACGATTATTATTGTTGTTATAACAAATCTTCTGGCAGAGCTTTAGATAGGCCAAACTGATCTCTGGAGGTAGGGTTCAGCGCAAATATTGCTATTAAAGTGCGAGTTCTGTCAGCCCTCAGCCTTGAAAGAACCCATATTAGTAGGACTAAAAACAGTTTTTATCACTGAGGTGCTTCGTCATCATTTAGTCTACTAGCCATCCCTAGAGTGGTCAATATGACCAGATAGGCGGGGTATAAATGGAATCAATCAATCAATCAATCAATCAATCAATCAATCAATCAATCAATCAATTCCTGGCTAAAACCATCATTTCTGTTCCTTGTTTTGTTCTAGTCTTCTGCCGCGTCTACATGCCCGACCACTCCTATGTCACCATCCGCAGCCGTCTCTCAGCCTCTGTGCAGGACATCCTCGCCTCAGTGACAGAGAAGCTCCAATACTCCGATGAACAGCCCTCGCGGGAAGAAGCTCTCATTCTGGTGGCAGTGGCATCATCAGGAGGTAACTGTCTCCCAAAGTCTGTGGCAGGGACAAAGCAGCACGGACCTTTGGGCTGCCTTCTTTTCTCTTTTGCGAATCTGAGGCTCAGAAACAGTCAAAGAGAAGACTCTCCCTTTTGTGTGTGTGGAATATGTCTTAATTTCTCTCTGTATACTGAGTGTCAAAGAAGGAATGAAAATAATGCCTAAGTTATATTGCTGTTGTTATTATGTGCTATCAAGTTGCCTATCATGCTTATTACAGTTTTGTAAAAATTTAGTGTTTGGATTGCCATATGTTTTAGTTGATTGTAATTTGACTGCCTTTAGCACCAAATCTGAGAAATTTTCTTTTGGGGGATATAACACTTGGAAACTATCAACCAATGTGGCCAGTGGCCAGGCTGGCTGGTGAACCTCAGATGCTGTAGAACCAAAAAGGGAAATTTCTACTTTCGAATTGAGCAGTAGCCTGGCTGATGCAGCTCTGAGACCAAATATAGCAGAAGGACTCACTGATTAAGTTGTTGTGTGTTTAGTAGCCATTAAACAAACAGTGGTGAGGCTGGGTGAGGAGGAAAGTTGGTACGTCATTGTGGTATTGACAAGGCCGTTCAGCTGGGAACGTTTGGATTCATTTGGTCAATGTGGACGAAATGAGAGTGCAGCAACACTTAGTTATAATAACACAGTGAAATGTGGCACTCAGTAATTCTGAATGCCAGGATTTGAGGAAGAGCCATTTGGATAAGAGGGATATCTGCTATTTATTGTACCTGTATCTGCAGTGTGGGGTGGAGGTGAGAGGGAAAGCCTGTGTTTCTAGAAGGCAGGTTATTCTAAGATTTGGAAGACACAAAAGCTGAAACTGCAGAGCTAAGGGCAAGACTGCCTATCAGGCTTCCAACAGATCAGTTACAGTTCTTCAAGAGACTTTGCAGCACTAGAGTAACTCCTACTGCTCTTTCAGAATTGGCACCTCTGCAATCCACACCGCATTGTTCTGTACAAAGGGATCCAAGCTGCATGCTACAGCAGAAAGTGTGTTTGTAGTGGGAAGTTAAAGTCACTGGCCAGAATCCTATCAGGATTTTACTTTCGAGTAATTGAAATTGCGTAAGTCGAGGCAGCAAATTTCAACTAATTAACAAGGTTGCATGCCTGGTTGCATGCCCATCAAGCAACCAGGAACTTGACCAGAACTTTGTTAATTAGCTGCAGTTTGCGGCCATGGCTTACATAATTTTAATTTTGAGCAAAATCCCAATAGGATTCTGGCCACTGAGTGTAGTCAGACTAAACTGTTATGGCTGTTTGATGCTCTTTTAACTGTCAGGACCCCAATTTACGAAATCCAGAGATTTTTAATTTGGTCAGGTATTTACAATTCTTCTGAAGTTCAGTACTTTAGCTGTCTTAACAGTGAATTTGAAGCCCCTCACCAAACTGCAAACCCTAGGATTCTTTAGAAGTGGTATTAAACTGCTTCAGCTATGTAGTGTGGATACATTAATGGCTTAATGTGAGTGAGAGGAAAAGTCTAATTTCTCTCAGCCATCCTCCATGTAACATGAATCACAGGCCAGGAACCCAAAGGTCCTCAATTACAATGTTATAGGAGATAGATATTCCTGCTGAAGGACAGGGCAGTCCAAACCATTCAGTAACTCTTTATTTTCTTCCTGAACCCCAGAGAAGTCTGTACTACAACCTAACGAAGAGTGTGTTTTTACTACCCTGGGGATAAATAGCCATCTTTTTGCCTGCACTAAGGAAACGTTTCCATCGCTGGTGAGTGAACTTCCTTTCTGTGATCTGGTTTTTGTTGTTGTTGTTGTTTGCCTGTGCCTCTTGTCAGTGAGAAGTGGTCTGACCTTTTGTAATGCAGGTATTGTTGCACCAATTTTTGTGTGTAAGCTTCTGGGTTCACTATTAACAGCTGCATGCATTGGTGCTGCACAATACTGCATGGTGTTACAGTCGCCAGAAACAGCTGTTTTCTTCTGAGCTATCAAAATATTAATCTGGTTCTCACACATACTGGAATTTCTCTCTCTCTCTGTCTGATCCCCACTACCACCATATCAAATCTGAACTGCTGCCTAGGTCCCTCTCCCGGATGAAATCCAAGTGTCGCCAGGTGACACAGAGATCCACCGGGTCGAAGCTGAAGATGTGGCAAATCATCTCACAGCCTTCCACTGGGAGTTGTTCCGCTGTGTCCATGAGGTGAGCTGATAGTTGAAGAAGAATGAAAAAAAAAGCTGGGCATGCAAGTTGGAAACTCTGGAATTTATGAATGAGTGGGAAACATTTAGTTGTGGGATTTTTTTTTTATTAAAAGAAAAACAATAATAACAACAATGGTAGCATAGTTACTAAAATTACCCTCTGTGCCACCATCACCCTTGGGACCAAATAACCAAATATATTATTTTAATCTCTTTTACCCCATTCCACTCCAAAAATACATAGATTCTTCTGCTGGCTTATGACCTCTCCTTTTTACAAAAATAGTTCAAATATGGATTCCATACCTCTTTTAAATCATTATATTTTGTCACTCCCCTTCTTACTTTTATTTCACATGTTAGCTTAAGAAGCATTTAGTTTTTGTGTAACCTTCTAGAATGGTTTACAGCTAGTTTAGATGTTTTTTCCTGAGCCCTGACTCAAGAGAGCGCTGATGGATGGAGTATTAGAGATGACTTTAAGAGCCTTGTTTTAGAAAATATCTCAGACCAGGCAGACTCTACCATTAGACAGAACGAGGCTGCTCTTTTAGGCAGCAGATGATGAGAGGTGAAGAGGGGCAGGGAAGTGTTAGAGTGGTGTGTGCTACTCAGATTGCAGTGCTTCCCCCAAACTGTCCTACTGCCCTCAGGTGCAATGGAGGACACTGTACCCTCACCAATGTTGTTGCTTTAAATAATATACTGCCTTATGGTGCTAAAGCACTCTCTGTGTGGTTTACAACATAATTATACGAACAACAGCTTTGCCCATCAGCAAGCTGGGGTCTCATTTTACTGACCATGGAAGGGTGGAAGGCTGAGTCAGTCCTGAGCCAGCTACCTGAATCAATCAGGATCATACTCAGGTTGTAAGCAGAGACTTGACTGCAGTATTGCAGTTTAACCACTGTGCTGCCAGGCTCGCCCAATATCTAAGATTTTTCTGTACATTGTATGGAAAAAAGCTATCATGTCCTTCACGTCAGTCTCGAGGCAGCCCTGGTTAAGATAGTCAGAAAGGGCATATGGTGTGGTGGAGTCTCCTATCCTACATGACTGGGGGAGGGGGAAGTATACATTATCAACGTCTTTGGGCTATTTCTCCTCTGCAATCCATGCTTCAGTTTCCCTTGTGTCTGCTCTTTAACTCACATCATGATTCTGTGCATTACCTTTGCTCCACAAAGGTAATTTTGTGCTCAGTATTTCTCTTTGAAATGTTAGTTTTTTGTATGCAATGCAAGTTTAACTAAAGGCCCTTTCAAACACCTATATCCTAAAGTTAATCTTGTACTGTGAGATGTTTTTGTATGTTTGAGTCAGCATTCAAAAATGAATAAACATGGTTCAGCTCAGTAGGCCTTGGTTGCAGTCCTCCAGATTACTTCCTTAGGTATTAGATTAGCATGATAAAGGAAAAATAAGGTTAGAGTATTTTTCCTTAACATCTACCTTTCTGTATGAGAGCAGGTTTTTTTGTTTTTTGTATGGAGGAGCTTTCAGTCATGTGAACTTTCAAACCCTTCATACAGGACTACTGTATCATTAGGCAGGGTGAGGAAACTAACTCAGGTAGCAGATGTTGGAGGGCATGGCCAGCAGCTTCTTAACTCATTGGCTGTTCCTTGTTAACATTTTCAAAATTGATCTGCCACCCCCAGATGTGGTAGGGAATGCTATCCCATTCTCAGTATTCAACTGGCTGTTCCTATCACCTTTTAAACATGGGATGGGACAAGAAGCACCCTTTTGTCCACCTCAGGCAACAAAATAGCTAGAGATAGCCCTGTTTTTATTGCTAAAGTGATATTTGCCCAGCCAAAGGCTCAACATTTCAATGACAACTAAGCTTTAGTCTTTCCTTCCTCCTCTTTCTTGTTATACATAAAATGGACTGATAGGATGGGTGGTGTGATTCTAGGGTGAAGAGGGACATGTCCCATACCTTTATCCCATCCTTAAGAAGTCACAGTGGATACTGATTTCCCCCCCTCTTGTCACATTGGTGTTTATAGCTGGAGTTTGTGGACTACGTGTTCCATGGGGAACGAGGCAGACGAGAGACAGCCAACCTGGAATTGCTGCTGCAGCGTTGCAGTGAAGTTCAGCACTGGGTGGCCACTGAGGTGTTACTCTGTGAGACACTGGGGAAGCGTGCCCACCTGCTGAAGAAATTCATCAAGATTGCATCTGTGTGAGTGTTGCACCTCATGCTGTCTTTGTACTGTGAGTAAGGGTGGACACACAAGCAATCTGGCTATCAATGACAACTGCTTAAAGACTTGTCAGTCCAGTGTGTGTAAACATGACTCATTTATCTATAGCTTCTCATCCTTTGCACATTTTAATCTAGTCTTCATTAATTTGTCTGTTTACATTATGGTTTTATTAGTTATGAGGGTGCTCAATGATCTGTGCAGATTTTAGAGGCCACCCCCACCCCTACCAATAGTGAAAATCTGATTAAACTGTGTCTTTTGCTTTCTGAGATTTTGAGTGGGAGCTTCCTACACATTTTCAAGGAATGTTCACTAGGACTAGAAACTTGTGTTCTTAAAAATGGAAGCTGACATTTTCAGGTGGTAGAATTCTGCATTCATTAGGAGATGCAGTGCTTTTCCTGCACTCCTGAAGTATCATGAAATGCAGATGTCCATGGCCTTTCAACTTATGTTAGATGGTGAAGAAACTGGTGCCAAACTCTTGTGCTTATTCTAAAATGTGAAAACATAGGGTTGTAACTGCTGGATAGCTTAGTGGTTTAGGTATCTGACTGCGGAGCGAGAGGCTGAGAGTTTGATTCCCCACTGATTCCCTACCTCCTTGACAGGGGCTGGACTTGATTATCTAAAGAGTCCCTTCCAGTTGTGAGGTTATAACAATTGTGATAAAGGTTGCCTGCTGCTTGGACATCGGTTTAATGTGACTGGCTCTCCATGTAACACCATTTGGTAGATCCATAAGTGCCTACAAAATCATCTGAATCCATCATCAGAAGGAGTGAGTTTTACTTCCATGGCATTCCAACTCATCCTCTGCAGTAAATGTGACCAGCACTTTGGATGTGGACTCCACCCTTTCTATGTTTATATATTTTTCTTTACCATATATTCTCTGCAGTAGAAAACTGTAATGTTTTGAGCAAAATCCACCCACACATCCACCCACGACTTGCACACTCATTATGGTTCATCCATTCAAAGTTAAGTAAGTCTGACACTTCTTTTCCTACCAAGGTTGCTGTCTGTAAGAATTACATGACAGGCAAAAATCCAGCATATGCAGCTTTTGTCAGCATGAAGATGCAGTGATGTGGAAAATGTCATTTGGTGAATTCTTGCCTTTTCCCCAGCTGTTCAAAGCATAGGCATCCTGGCAAAGTGTCAGCCTTATTCATAAGCCACTGTAGCAATCTGAACATGGGGGGGAAGCAAGCTGTTTATTGTTCTTCAAACATGGGTTCATGGGGTTGAGGGAGGTACATTTCCAGCAAAGAAAAAAATGTAACATGTGGAGAAAGCTGTAATTTGGTGAGCTTGCTTCAATTCTGGGTTATTAGAAAGATGCTGGGCAGCGGGGGAAATGTTGCTCTCACCATGTTATACTAAGGATTATAAAAAAAATCTTCTAATATCTTCAGGTTGTTCTAGCATTTTCAGTGTCTCTGGTAGCTAGATTTGGCATAGCCTGTTCCTGGAACCATTGCAGAACCACTGCCATTTAAAGTGTACTTCCAGAAAAGCCATTCCACTTTGAATTGCCATACATTATTCACCCATTTTAAATAAAGAATACAGACAATGTCATTCCCTGACCTTATGTGTGATTTTTTTTCCTACTTGAAACACACTGTTGTAGTGCTAAAATCTGTCCAGTGTAAACCGGCAAAGAGATTTTTCAGAGGGAAAAATTTTTTTCAATAAAAACTTCCTTCTCTGAAAAAAAAGAGCTTCAACCTAAATCCAATTGCCAAGCCAATTACAATAGACCCATTGAACCAATGCTCACAGTTCTATCAGTTGGTGGTTCCCAGCCTTGGGTCACCAGATATTTTTGGACTAAAACTCTCAGAAGCCTTCACCACTAGCTGTGCTGGCCAGGATTTTTGGGAGTTGCAGTCCATGAACATCTGGGGACCCAAGATTATCTGCCACTATAGGTGATTTACAGTTGTATAAGAGAATTGCAAGTTACAGCGGCAAATTACCTCTGGTTATTGAGATCCTGGTCGTGATCCTGGGCACATGCCCTGTTGTGCAGTTGGAGTCACATCTAGGAAACCAACCAGCATTTCGCTAATGAGTGGCAATTTGTTCCCATGGTTTATGTAATTTTGGTTGTTGTAGGTTTTTCGGGCTGTTTGGTTGTGTTCTGAAGGTACATGATTTTCCTTACACAAATATAAATTGCTAATTGGTTTTCAGCCAGTGAGATTTACTTAAGTGTTGATTTACCATTCAGCAATGGATTCAAGTAACTTTCTTTGTTTGGGATTCAGAATTGGATTTTGACAAATTTTTGCTTTTATTGCTTTCTGTTCAGTACAGCCTGATACTGATGAATAATCTCATCATTGCCCACCAATTAGTCAGCTCCGAATTTCTAAGTCAAAGGATTAATAGCCAGTTGCTTCTTTTTATTCTTTTCCTTTACTTTAAAAAACCCAGCAAAACAACAGTCAAAGGAATATATGGAACAAAGCTAGTAATAAAACCAACTGTCTACATAGGAACAGGGACTGAATAAACTGGAAGTAGAGGCAGAAGTTGCAAAAAGGAAGCTTTTAATAAAAATTAGAGGGGAACTTTGCTGAACAGGACTTGTGAATAAACATTATAGAAGAATATAGCAATGAGCTTTCTATGTTATATCAAATGCCATATAGAACCACTGTTTTCATATTGCTTTCAGCTGATATTTATCCTGAAATATGCACTTTTTCAAATTAAGAAATTTAGTTGTCCCAAAACTGTATCAACCATGCCAGTCCCAGTACACAGTACTAATGGTTTTTTTTTCTTTCTTTCTGTGCTTCTACTGCATGTTCAACTTGCCTCATGCACTTTTTTAAGAAATTTAGTTGTCCCAAAACTGTATCAACCATGCCAGTCCTAGTACACAGTAATAATGTTTTTTTCTTTCTTTCTGTGCTTCTACTGCATGTTCAACTTGCCTCTGTTCTCCTTCTTGGCACTAATAGAAAGAGAAATAATGACTTTGACACCATCATCTGGCTGTCTTTAATAACCCGTGGCAGCAGACTTTCGTCTTGGCTTGCTTTTTATTTTGGTGGTGACCCGGGGGATGATGCAGTAGAAAGGAGCAGGAGCAGGTGTGGGCAGCTGAGCAGAGCTGTGACACATACTTGGAGATGGGTTGGGGAGGTTCTGAATGTTAGTAATTAGCAGTTTTTGGATAAGAGCAGGCACAGTGCTGTTGTTGTTTGCAAACTGCCTCCCTCCCCATCTGTAGAGAGCTCTGTGATTTGACTCAGATTGGTAGGAGTCAGGAACTAGTAGGGTCTCTGGATTTCATTAAGAGTACAGGAGTCAGGAACTACTGTAGTAGGGTCTCTGGATTTCATTAAGAGTACCATTATGTTTTGTCTTAGAATTTGAACACTGACAATTAGCTTCAAAAGGATGTTTAGTGCGTTTTAAGACAAAGCCTTTCCTTGCCCCAGAGAAGGCTTAAAATATGTGGTGAGTGAGGTTTTTCCTTCCACAGCCTGCTAAAAAGTGCTTAGCAGTGGTTATTCGCTTCTAGAATGGCGACTGGAAGTCAAGCGGTAGCCACCATGGCCAAATATAGATCAGTGTGGTTTTTCCTTCCACAGCCTGCTAAAATGTGCTGTTCCATTTTATCTTCCTGCTAAAACGACTGGTTATTCACTTCTAGAATGGCGACTGAAAATCAAGCGGTAGCCACCATGGCCAAATATAGCAAGCTATATTTGGTGGTCTGGAGGCAAATGACAGAAGAGCTAACCTCTTGTCTGTCATGTAGATGATAAAAAGTATCAACCTAATACCTGGGGAAAATGTGACAATGCCTCTTGAACACTGGGAAATGGTGAATTTAAGGGAGGCTATTTAAACTGAGAAGAGAAGACTCCATGGAAAAGACCCTGATGTTGGGAAAATGTGAAGGCAAGAGGAGAAGGGGACGACAGAGGACGTGATGGATGGACAGTGTAATTGAAGCTACCAACATGAATTTGACCAAACTCCAGGAGGCAGTGGAAGACAGGAGGGCCTGGCGTCCTCTGGTCCATGGGGTCACGAAGAGCCGAACACGACTTAACAACTAAACAACAACAGCAAATTAAGACTGAATGTTCTGTCATATCAGTGTGTGATTAGACAGGCATTTAACCTACTGTGTGGTCCACTGTGGGGACAGGTTGGTTCATTCCTTTTTCTGGCAATTACACAACATAATTCCTGGAGTGAACCAAATTGTCCCCAGAGGGTTCCTACTCACACTTTTCTGAGCTCTTTTCAGGGCCTTCTGGGTTTTTTGGTGCAGGAAAAGATCACTCGGCTTTGGTCCATTTGCTGTGCATGCAATCATTGGGAATGAAACAAAAGCAAGTCTGGTTGTCAAAGTTCCTTCTGGTTTTAATTTCCAATATCATGAAGTGGCTTAAGTTTGGTCCATTTGCTGTGCATGCAGTCTTTGGGAATGAAGCAAAAGCAAGTCTTCTGGTTGTCAAGGTTCCTTCTGGTTTCAATTTCCAATATCATGAAGTGGCTTAATATCATGAAGAGCCTTGTGGCACGGTGGATAAACCGCTGTACTGCAGCCAAAACTGTGCTCATGTCCCGGGGTTCAATCCCAGGTAGCTGGCTCAAGGTTGACTCAGCCTTCTATCCTTCCGAGGTTGGTAAAATGAGTACCCAGCTTGCTGGGGGGCCAATGTGTAGCCTGCATAATTAACTTGTAAACCACCCAGAGAGTTCTTGAAGCACTATGGGGCGGTATATAAGCAGCATGCTTTGCTTTGCTTAATAAACGAGCCACTTCAGGGTATTGGCATATTTCCTCTGCTCCTTGGCAGAGGAGCAGGGGAAGTGAGAAACATTTTTAGACTGTACAAGACCACTGTTGATGTGCTGCATCACTTATTTTAAAAACTAATTAAAATTTCTTTGCTTTGTCTTGATAGGCTGTTCAACAAGCTGCCTGCAGAGCATCAGCAATGGTCTGCTACAATCTAAAAAAAATCACTTCCCTGCTGAGGAGCAGAGGGAAGTGTTCAGTATGTGAATATAACCTTTAATAACCTTTGAACTGCAGAGCTGGAAGAGACCTGATGGATCATTGGGTCCAGGCCCTCTCAAGGAAACTGAAATCCTCAGGTCCAGGCCCTCTCAAGGAAACTGAAATCCCAGCCTAAGCCACTGAGCTATCCAGCAGTTCTATCCTGAAGCAGCTTGCTTATTCAGCCACTTCACAATATGAGAAATTCAAAGTAGAAGACGCCAGACCAAATAGGGTTGTCTGAGTTCTGATGTCATGTAGATTTGAGGATCATACCAAATGATATATTGCACCTTAACTGACCCCCACCGAACATGCTCCAAAAGATGGAGCGTAGAGAAGACATTAGTTCTTAACTCTGCTGTCTTTTTTCTTTCCCACAGATGTAAACAGAACCAGGACATGCTCACCTTCTATGCTGTGGTTATAGGGTTGAATAATGCACCTGTCAGTCGCTTGCGCCTCACCTGGGAGGTAAGAAAGTAAAGGGAAGGTGTGGGGGGCTGACTTCTTTGTATATGTGTGTAGGAGGCAGTGCTGTGCATACTCTTCCTGTGCCCTGCACCATTCTTCAAGGAAGCTGTTTCAATATTCAAGTATTTATAAACTCATTTAGTTTTTCTGTCAAGTTATCCAACAATATGTCTTCACTACAACTGACAAATATAAAGCTCCAGTAATGTAATAACCAGATAAGAAACATTGTAAGTGCACACTCTAGTTCTGTAGAAACAAAACAGAAGAACTCACAAGTCATCACAATTGCCACTGAAAAATACCAGCCATACTTGCTCCTCTGTATAGTGAAATCCAGAGCTGTCACTGAAAAAGCTGTGCTCCTCATTCTACTTTGCAAGAGCAGAGCAGGATTTCTTTTGAAGAGTCCTAAATCCAAGGAAATTACCAAGAAGACCCGTATCTCCCATTGCTTTCACTGGGCTGTTCTAAGTAAACCCTTTGGAAGGACTGGGCTTCAAGAGAGACACATTTAGAATATCTGTTTAATTGATATGGGATGCTTTGAGTGTCATTCTTCATGCTTTCAGAGAAGAGGGAGAAAGATGATAAAGGCTAAATGTGAGCAATAAAAGCCATTACCTCCATTTCTCTCTGGATTGTTATAGAATGGAATAATTTCATCTTCTTAAGAAAAATGAGGAATCAGGAATCAGAAATGTGAAGGATAGATGTGGGATGTGTTAGCCTGAGCTGCAAAGGGTGCATATATAAAAAGAGAGAGTATGCTGAGAGATATTAGACGTTGTGTAGCTTTTCTGACCTCTTTACAGACTAAAGTCTGCAGTCCCCACAATTGTCTTACATCTTGGTTTCCAGGTGTGATGTGTTGCTTTGTTTTCTTTGGCCTTATTTTGTTTGTTTTTACTTTGCACGTGGATAAGTTCTGGAGTGGCAGGACTATGAGAGGCAGCCAGTGCGAGGACAGGAGGGTGCAGACCAAAGTTTCAAATGCAGTGAGTTTGCAGTGCCTGCCCACCCTTGTGCTTACTGCCTCTCACAGCCACTCACTGCTGGCACTGCCAGTGTTATTTTAAATTAAAAAAAAATCAAACTGGGATAGTGCTAGTTAAGTATTACAGATAGGAAAATATATATAACAAATCTGACTGCAAGGTTTACTTGCAGCTTGAAATCTATGATCCAGGCATTAATTGCTTGATAAATCTCACAGATTTTAGAAGACCGTGTAGCACCCTTTACTGATATAGAATACAGATTTTAAAAGGATTATAAGTTGTTCCAATAAGACACACACACTGACCCAAAAGCCGTGTGTCTACCACGTGACTTTAAACCAAACCCTACTCCATCTCTTGATTCATTTTCACAGTGTAATTGCACCCTTTGACTGTACAGTCCTTGAAACAGAGGACCATCTTCTGTAAGAAAAGAATGTGTGGCCATTCTAGCCTTCAGCAGCAAAAAGTCATAGGCTGCTGAGTTAACAGGGCTCACCCTAGGTTGCTAAAAACAACCACCCTGACTGTAAAACAAACTGTTTTTAAAGAGGCAATGATGATTACAGGCTTCTTTTTCCTCTCTGTTGTTTACAGACTGTAGTGTAATCTACTGCTAGTGAAGCGATGATGCCATGATGGCCTTGTTCACGTCCCTGGTGTTTCTCTGATGTTTGCATGGCAGTGGGGAATGGTGGTAGGGAGGATAATGTGATTTTTGCTGCAGATTCCAATATCTGGCATTGTTTCACACATTCATTTCCACACATTGTTCTGGAACAGTCATTATTGGTTCACTCATTTTTACAGAAAATCCACACAATACCATTGATAAATCACTGAATGTTGTCCCCACCACCACCAGTCCTAATTTAGGGATTTTCAGTAACAAAATACAACTGTGTCCTAAAAGTGGAATGCCCTCATCAGAGGGAGTTGACTGGCATAGGAACAGCAATATAACTCTCAGGCAAAAATATTTTCTATGTACTTCTGCATGTTAACTGATGTTAATCAAGGATTAGCCTGCTCTGAGTTTTTATCTAATATATTTACTTTCTGTGTTTTATTTTGTTGCTCTGGAATACTGGTACAGTACATCATTAGTATATCAAGAACAATGATGGGTGATGTGTACATGTTTTAATTAAATTGAAGCAACAGCCAGAACTTCATTCTGGAGAGGCAAATTGCTGCTGCAATTTTAAATGGATATGGTTCCCTTACCAGACAGATTTTTGTTCACCTATTCTGTCCTGACTCTTGTTTGCAAGAGTCTTGTTTACATGTTAGAGTATAAGCAATTATTGATCAATATAATTCCAAATTCTCTTTAATTAGCCTCTCTTATAGTACATTAAGTCCCACTGAATTAAATAGGATTTATTCCCAGATAAATGTGCAGTTTTAACTGCCTCTTACTGTTTATGCCTGTTCCCAGGGGAAGGGTGCTTTAATTACCTGTTTCCTGCCATTATTATTTTGCTGCATATAAAAAAATAATAATGGAAGGAAATCAGTAATAAAAAGGTCCAGCCCAGGAGCACAAAAAACCAATAAGGAGTAATTAAGAGATGCTGCTCTTCACTGAATTTCTAACTGTGTTCAACAAGGAAGCGTAAAACTGGCTGAACCTGCAAACAAAAAGCTTTGAATTAACACTGACCTTCACTAAACTATACTTAAGTTCTGTGTAAATATTGTAGAAGAATTGTTGACATAAGCAAGGGTGTTCTTCATTCATGACACAGTTTCAAGAGCTTTGTGGAATGGCTGTTTAATTCCATGCCACTCAATTAGTTTTGGGTGAATAGGGTTTCTAGTGATGGAAGTGATGACGTTTTTTGAAAACCTGTTAACAACCAAACCTGATAACAACAAATACAAATGAGAAGTTGAAATACTGAGAATATATACTGGAAGATATGGGTGTGTGAAATGTAGTTATGATGTTAAGAGTGTATGTGATGGTCCTTGGCACATTTTCTCTTTGGCTTACAAATACATCTCTCTCTCTCTCTCTCTCTCTCTCTCTCTCTCTCTCACACACACACACACACACACACACACACACACACGGACATACATATCCACCCACACTCTTGTGTTCTCAGTTCTTTTGCAATAGCTATCTTTCCTGTTTACCAGGAGCTGTGGGTACATGTATTTTGTCAAAATCATTGTTCATTTGTTGCACTCCTCCCTATAATTTTCATACAATCTCTGCCATCAAACTGGGTCATCACCGGAAAGGAAATAAACAAGAAGCATCCAGGCTTGTGGAAGCAAAGGATTCACTCCTGAGGGCTGATCTCAGTGTAGGATACCTGACAGGGCCTTGCTGTGCAGTGTTTGGCCCTCTTGGCCTAATGCATTGTGATGGCTATGTTTCATCCTAGTATCAGCTGGATTGTTTTTGGGGGTATGGAGGGTATTTGGGACTCTGAGGGAGTTGTAGGTGTTTGGGCCTCTGAGGGGTTCATAGGCAGCCCATAGGCCTCCCGTTACCCACTTCTGGACTAGAGAGTCCCATGGCATCTTCTTAATGTTTATCAAAGCAAGGCTTTTTGTAGACCATATTGCTTAAGCTAGCTGTTACATTTGCCTGTAAAGTTATGTCTGTATTTACTGAGGCACATTCAGCGTAGAATTCAGCCAAAACTAAGCACGTTTAGGTGCTCAGGCTTTGATGAATGGGACTGTAAATGCCAGCTAATTCAGGGGACAAACAACAGGGAAGGCCATGATTTGGTGATTTCAAGAGGTAGCTGACTTGTATTAGTTCCTCACCCCACTGCAACAGTATAAGGCATTCCCTCTGCTTGGACTCTGGACCATCAGGAATCAAAAAAATACAGTGACTGATTTTGTGGATCTTGGCCAGATCCAGTTTTAGGCAGTGTCTATATTCTTTCATATTATATTTGTGTTGTTTTTATGCCTTAACGTGTTTAGACTAGCAATAAACATCATTAGTGCCTGTTTTTAAGTGGAAAGAAAATAGGGGAAAACCTTCCTGACCCCCTTTTAAGTAACATTCTAATTGTTTACAACACATTTGGGAAATCACAGTCTTGGGTTTCTATTCCTTGAACTGAACCTGCCACACCCTTAAATGTTGAGGGCAGTGCCTGATGTTGGGCAAGTCAATGCATAAGTGATCTCGTTCCTTCATAAACAAGCTGTGCATCAGAGCTAGAAAACAACATCACTTAGGTTGACTCATGGTAGGTGGGAAAACCAGTTTGACACATTTTGCTTGGTTGGTTCATCCCTTCACAAGCAGACAAGCAGATTATCAGTGGAATACTGTACAGTGGAAGATGCTGTTCTATCACATAGAGTATTCTTAAGCGGGTTATATTCATTTAGGCTTGAGGGGGTATAATTTATATACTTAGGTGAATATTGTCTTAATCTGCTGTGGGCATAGCCAAAAAAATCCAGCTCCAGTTTCCTGCTACTGGAAATGGAGTATTGAATTTGAGCAAGACTGAGGACTGAGGCACAAACTGTACAGTAGTAGGTAGAAGGCACTGCTCTGTTGGCCAAGGAATAGCTGAAGCCTGAGTTCCTTTTATTTATCCTAGACCTACACATTCCGAAGGCTTCATAATTCCTAAAAATTTCAAAACTAGTCTTCTGATTTTGTCACATTAAGAATCTGAAGGAGGCTGTGCAGCGTTTCAGATGTGTGTCCTCCCTTCTGCCGAGAAACTAAGAGGGCTATCTTGGACTTCACATTTGAATGAAATCTATCATACTGGACCTAAATACTGTACTGTACAGTATTAGGTTTCCTAGACATTGTTTTTAGTATTTCCAGTTGCCTGCGGAAACTTGTGTACTGGGTCACTTCTGATTCTCCTTTTACCCATCATCATAATGCAAAAATCTTTATTCTTTAATCACGGCAGCTGGAAGAAATAATGGAGGAAAATATTATTTTGTTTCCTTAAATCTGGGATTGTCAGCTTCCAGAGTTCTGGGGGCTAGACATAGGCACATGGGCTCCCATCTCCCCCCACACTCCCATTTTTCCCCTTCTTACTATGTTTTAACTGAAATTTCCCTTGCAGCCTCCAGTGGCAATTAAAAAAACAAAACAAACATTTTGGCACGTGTACATAAAGAGCTTAGCAACAAAATAGCAGAATTCCATCCCTTACTCCAGGGGTCACAAAGGGGCTTTACATGTAGAATTGTTTGCTTTAAAAATTAGTGGTGGGGGGGAGGGAAGATGTTGAAATGATGGAGAAAACCCTGAAATATTGCATTTGGGTCACTAGAGAGCCATTGTTTAGACTTAAGTGTAGTATTTTGGCTCCCCTGAAATTGTAGCCTGTCCGAATTATGCCTGCAAAAATTAAAAAGATGTACATCTGAATGTTGGGGGTGCACTTGGGAATCCTTTGTTTGCACAAAATAACCTAGCAGAATCAAATATAGCGAAATGGACATCTGAGCTTCTTATTTAAACTGAATGTGTTTTTTTGTTTTTTTGTTTTTATTTTTTTTTGCTATTTTGGAACTCTTACTGTATTTCTGACCATTTGTTACTGTTTTTGTTGTTGTTTTCTCCAGAAGCTTCCAGGGAAATTTAAGAATCTCTTCCGGAAATTTGAAAATCTAACAGTAAGTCATTCCTAGTTATTCCCATACATTTTATTTCATGAACTATGACTAGATCTTTTTTTAAAAAAACACCACCCCTTTTTTAGACAATAGTTTCTAAAATCCCTCAAACAACATGGCCATTACTGGCTGGGGGATGTTGAGAACTATAATCCAGAAAGGTAGCTTTTCCAAACCTTGACTCAGTTTCTCTCCTTAGCCCTTATGTCTTCTCTTACTCTCAGATGTCCAGCATATTAAAATAAAGTTTAAATTGCATGATTATGTAACAGTAACAGAGATAATGTTATATGTTAGCATACGTAAGCAAATCTGCAAGTATTACTGTTATTTCTCCTCCTCCCTTGCCCCCAACAATCAGGAAGAGGGTTCGGGTTGTTTCCCCTTCAAAGACTTCAGATTTGGATGTGAAACCTGCACCATCCTATTATTGTGTTCTTTTGGAGAAATTTAAAGGTTTTCTTCCAAGTTTGGTTTCCAAACTTGTGTTCCAGGAAATCCTAGGGCTCCTCCACAATTTACTGGGGTTCCTTTGTAAGAAAGTTCATAATGGGTAATTCTTTATTTTAAAGATAGGCCCACAGCTCCCCAGTTTCCTTTACCACATGCAAAGTCAGAAAGGTGTGTTCTAGGCTTCTTTTAATTCAGGTAGAGAATCAGTGAAGCTCAATAGCCCTAGCCAGCACATGAAGTATTAGCTGTGTCTAAAACATTGCAACATAAATATAAAAGAATTTCCCGATAGTAGGAAGTTTTGAAAAATACTGTTGTAACAAATTGACCAGTCAGAAGGAGATGGTTTTCATCCTGAGGGGCTACAAATCAAATTAAAAAATAAGCTTTTCTTCATTTTCCTTACTCCCCTTTTAAAAAAGTATATACAGTACTTAGTCCATATGATGGATGAGGTGTATCAGATTTTCTTCGTATGTTTTGAAATGTGTATTTTATGTGTACATTTAATGTTTTTAATTTTTTTCCATATATCACCATCCTCAGCAAAGTCCATTACCAATCAGTTATCTTTTCAACAGTTGGGCCATGCCTGTTCTTTGGCAGCAGTTCATTCTCTGTCTTCCTGCAAAATCATGCTGCCCTTTTTCTCTTTGGCTTTGCAGGACCCCTGTCGGAATCATAAAAGCTACAGGGAAGTCCTATCTCGGATGAAACCACCCATTATTCCCTTTGTGCCCCTCATCCTAAAAGGTAAGTAACTGCAGTTGTGGCCGATTCGCTTATTCTTGAGATGGGAGTTGTGAAAAGTAGTATCTTGGTTTTTCTGTTGTGTGCTGTCAAAGTTAATTCTGACTTAACGGCGAACATTTTCAAGGTTTTCAAGCTAGTACTTTTCAAGGCTAGTACTTCTGGTGCACAGTGGAGAACTGAACTCCCAACCTCTGGCTGCACATCCAGATACCTAACTCACTGAGCAATCCAGCAAGCTTTAGCTGATTTAATCTGGGTTTAATTTTAAAGAAAACTCTTTCTCCAGAGAAGCTACCTCTCAGCATTCTGACACACTTTAGTACAACCTTCTGCAGCCCAGTGCCTTCCACTTGTGTTGGATGACAAGTCCCATCATCTTCAGAAACAAGACCAAAAATAGGTCTGTATAGATGAAGGGCTGGGGTTGTATCATCTTCTCAGGATTCACTGGGATGACTGGGATCGCAAAGGAGTAGGGAACAGAAGGGACTGTTGGTGCACCTCTCATCTTCTCCTACATATATGGGGACGTGGTGGCGCTGCGGGTTAAACAGCAGAAGCCTCTGTGCTGCAAGGTCAGAAGACCTGCAGTCGTAAGATCGAATCCACGCGATGGAGTGAGCCCCCGTCACTTTGTCCCAGTTCCCGCCAACCTAGCGGTTCAAAACATTCAAAATGCGAGTAGAGATAAATAGGTACCACCATGTTGGGAAAGGTAGAGATAAAAGGTACCACCATGTTGGGAAAGTAATGGCGTTCCGTGTCTAGTCGCACTAGCCATGTGACTACGGAATATTGTCTTCAGACAAACGCTGGCTCTATGCGTTGGAAATGGAGATGAGCACCGCCCCTTAGAGTTGGACATGACTGGACAAATTGTCAAGGGGAACCTTTACTTTTACTATACAGCATATATACGAATGCTTTTTTTTAATCCTGTGGGAGAGATAAATCAAGGACAGTGTTGTGATGGAAACAAAGCCAGCTTCTTCAGTCCTGCTATCCAGGGACCTAGCCTGTTTTGAATGGAATCTTGTGGGATATATGGAAACTCTGAGGGGTGGGCACACAATAGTTTCAAATGCAGTACAGTATTCCCTTGTTAGCAGCATGTGAGTCCTTCTAGTATATTAGCCCTTCTTACACATGTGTGAACCCCCATCATAATAATGGATATTTTGCTTCTGCTAATGCTGCTAAAAATTAGAATAATAGAAAAGTGCTTCTGAGCACGTGCATAGATTCCCTGTTTGTGTCATTGCTTAACTACTGCATTCTATCCTAGCCACCTGCGAGATGGGTGAAAAGGTACCAGGCCAGAACCTGTGGTTACAATCAGGCACCTTGTCAAAGCAAGAAATCCAGTCATGGCAAGGGTTTCAGTCCTCTTCTCTTGACTTACTTTGTCTCTTCATTTCCCCCCTTTTGTTCTCTCTCAGATCTGACGTTTTTGCATGAAGCTAGCAAAACTTTGGTGGATGGACTTGTCAATGTAGAGAAACTGGTAAGAACATTTTTGTCACCTCATCCTTCTTTTGCTGTATCTGGTTAGCATGTCCTGTACTTGGTAGCCAGCACAACATCCTCACTTTCTCAGTCTGTGCAGTGGAAGTCATAACTTCATATATTTATTTACATTTTTTTTGGACTTATATACCGCCCCATAGCGCTACATTGTACTTGGTAGCCAGCACAACGTCCTCACTTTCTCAGTCTGTGCAGCGGAAGTCATAACTTCATATATTTGAGATGAATCTAAAAGCAACTTAGTTGCAAAATATCTGGGAGATCTTAAAATACTCTTTTAATTGTAATAGTTGCAATGTGAAGGACAGGAGTAACCATGGCCAAATGCCCTTAGTGCAGAGATAAAATATTTGTTCCAAAAGAAAGAAGATGAAAGCAGTCCAAGATAGGAAGTCTTTTAAATTGTGGCTTTTTGGCTTGCCAATACTTCAATGATGATTATGGTGATGATGATGTGGAATAGGTTTGCTGTTTTTTTTTTCAAACAACAACAGCAGGGTATGTGCAAAGGGAACTTATTATGGTTTCCATTTGGTGTCAGATTTCCTGTCAGCATTTCTCACCATCACCAACAAAACTAAGGGATTTGTATGGCCTGGACAGAAGACTAAGCATATGTTAAAACAAATAAAGAGAATAAAGCCACCTTAGCACAAAGGTTTTCTTACAGTCTAGAATTTTTCAGCAGAATGGTATTTTTTGCTTGTGAGAAGGGGGGAAATACTGATTTCCTGCTTCCAAGGCCTTCTGGAAAATTGTGTTTCAAAGTGAAGGAATGAAAACTCCAATATGTCACACTCCAACAACTTTATTTATTCCTGAAATCAGTAGTTTCATCAAAAGTCTGATGACTCCCAAGTTCACGGTGCTGTAAGTCCAGTCTGAGTTTTAGTCTATGCTTTACAGCAGCTATATAAGGTCCTGAACCTTTGGGGAAGAGTTAGGGTTAAAACCCAGAGTGAATTCACAGCATCCCTGAAACTGGGGTCATCAGCAGCCATTGCCTGAAATCCCCCCACCCCAGACCAAACAGGAGTAAAACCAGGAATAGGTCCCAACAGTAGAGACTGCCCTTGATAAATAAAGTTGGAACATGTGGAATTTAGACAAGGAGGAGTCTGTACTCCACATCATGATCCATGAGGACAACAGTTTGAATTAGAATCTGAAGTGTAATAAATTGGTGGTATTGCTCTGTAAACTAAACCAAAGTAGAAGTCCAGGCTTGCAGTAGTTTCATCAAGCCTGATTAGTCCATATGCCTGCTGATTGAATATCCTGGGCATCAGTGAACTAAAATGGAAAGGAATGGGCGAATTCAATTCAGATGATTATCATATCTACTATTGTGGGCAAGAATCCCGCAGAAGGAATGGAGTAGCCCTCATAGTCAACAAAAGAGTGGGAAAAGCTGTAATGGGATATAATCTCAAAAATGATAGAATGATGTCAATACGAATCCAAGGCAGACCTTTCAACATCACAGTAATCCAAGTTTATGCACCAACCACCAATGCTGAGGAGACTGAAATTGACCAATTTTATGAAGATTTACAACACCTTCTAGAACTGACACCAAAGAAAGATGTTCTTCTCATTCTAGGGGATTGGAATGCTAAGGTAGGGAGTCAAGAGATGAAAGGAACAACAGAGAAGTTTGGCCTTGGAGTTCAAAAGGAAGCAGGGCAAAGACTAATAGAGTTTTGCCAAAAGAACAAGCTGGTCATCACAAACACTCTTTTCCAACAACACAAGAGGCGACGGCATTCTTAATTCCGGCTTGGGATTTCTCCAGTCCAGCCTTTTGCATGATGTATTCTGCATATAAGTTGAATAAGCAGGGGGACAATATACAGCCTTGTCGTACCTCTTTCCCAATTTTGAACCAATCAGTTGTTGGTATCCAGTTCTAACTGTTGCTTCCTGTCCCACATATAGGTTTCTCAGGAGACAGATAAGGTGGTCAGGCACTCCTATTTCTTTAAGGACTTGCCATAGTTTGCTGTGGTCCACACAGTCAAGGCTTTTGCGTCGTCAATGAAGCAGAAAGAAAGGTTACTTACCTGTAACTCTGGTTCTTCGAGTGGTCCTCTGTGAATTCACACGTCCCGCCCGTCCTCCCCTCTTTCCGTCACGGCTGTCTCACCTTAGAGCAGCAGCGGAATTTGGGGAACTGAGATATCTGTTAGGACGGGCGGACCATGAGGTCCTGGGGGTCGGAGCCAAAAGTGTTACTTTAAGCTCTAGAATATTCCGAGGCCTCTGCACAAGTGCAGATTTAACCCATTAGTGTGAATTCACAGAGGACCACTCGAAGAACCAGAGTTACAGGTAAGTAACCTTTCTTTCTGCTTCATTGACGACGCAAAAGCCTTGACTGTGTGGACCACAGCAAACTATGGCAAGTCCTTAAAGAAATAGGAGTGCCTGACCACCTTATCTGTCTCCTGAGAAACCTATATGTGGGACAGGAAGCAACAGTTAGAACTGGATACCAACAACTGATTGGTTCAAAATTGGGAAAGAGGTACGACAAGGCTGTATATTGTCCCCCTGCTTATTCAACTTATATGCAGAATACATCATGCAAAAGGCTGGACTGGAGAAATCCCAAGCCGGAATTAAGAATGCCGGAAGAAATATCAACAACCTCCGATATGCAGATGATACCACTCTGATGGCAGAAACTGAGGAGGAATTAAGGAACTTTGTAATGAGGGTGAAAGAGGAGAGTGTAAAAAACGGTCTAAAGCTGAACATAAAACAAAAACTAAGATCATGGCCACTGGTCCGATCACCTCCTGGGAAATTGAAGGCCAATATATGGAGGCAGTGACAGATTTTACTTTCTTGGGCTCCATGATCACTGCAGATGGAGACAGCAGCCACGAAATTAAAAGATGCCTGCTTCTTGGGAGGAAAGCGATGACAAACCTTGACAGCATCCTAAAAAGCAGAGACATCACCTTGCCAACAAACGTCCGCATAGTCAAAGCTATGGTTTTCCCTGTAGTGCTGTATGGAAGTGAGAGCTGGACCATAAAGAAAGCTGACCGCCGAAGAATTGATGCTTTTGAATTGTGGTGCTGGAGGAGGCTCTTGTGAGTCCCCTGGATTGCAAGGAGAACAAACCTATCCATTTTGAAGGAAATCAACCCTGAGTGCTCACTGGAAGGACAGATCCTGAAGCTGAGACTCCAATACTTTGGCCATATCATGAGAAGACTCCATGGAAAAGACCTTGATGTTAGGAAAGTGTGAAGGCAAGAGGAGAAGGGGACGACAGAGGATGAGATGGTTGGACAGTGTCATCGAAGCTACCAGAATGAATTTTACGCAACTCCGGGAGGCAGTGGAAGATAGGAGGGCCTGGTGTGCTCTGGTCCATGGGGTCACAAAGAGTCGGACACGACTAAACGACGACGATCTTAGACAATCTCTACCTCTCCAGCATCCAAGGAACACACTAGACACACATGAATTTCCCAAGATGTATTGCTGCCAGAGGCAAAGAATAAAATGGCACATTCTCCATTTCAACAGACGGTAGCCAGCACATGAGGCAGTTGAATCCTATACAGTGGGGTCTTGACTTGAGAACTTAATCCATATTGGAAGGCGGTTCTCAAGTCAAAATGTTCTCAAGTCAAATCTGCATTTCCCATAGGAATGCATTGAAAACCATTTGATCCGTATCTGCTCTTTTCCGTCCATAGAAACTAATGGGAAGCTGCTATTCTGCCTTCAACAACTAGAGGCGGATATTTTGTTTCTTTTTTTCTTAGGTCAAGAAAGGTTCAGGGAAGGCAGGGAAAATACAGTCCAGGCAGTACAGTAACAGGCAGTCCGAAGACTGTCTCCCAATCCACTCTCTAAACGCTGGGAGGAGTGAGGAAGCAGACAGGCACCCTTTTTAAATGACTAAACAATGACGATCTTAGACAATCTCTACCTCTCCAGCATCCAAGGAACACACTAGACACACATGAATTTCCCAAGATGTATTGCTGCCAGAGGCAAAGAATAAAATGGCACATTCTCCATTTCAGCAGACAGTAGCCAGCGCATGAGGCAGCTGAATCTTATACTTCAATACAGTACTGGCAAGGCGACAGTGTCCTCCGTGATACCGAAGGGGATGTGACTAGTTTAGGATATGTAGTAAATGAGACACAGGACTCTGTCCTCGACCACCTCATTGGGGATCCCAGTGTCTGCTGCTTAGGGCAGCCATCTTACTCTGCCCATGGTTAGGACCAGCCCTGTAGATACAGTACTGGCATGGTGACAGTGTCCTCCGTAATACCGAAGGGGATGTGACTAGTTTAGGATATGTAGTAAATGAGACACAGGACTCTGTCCTCGACCACCTCATTGGGGATCCCAGTGTCTGCTGCTTAGGGCAGCCATCTTACTCTGCCCATGGTTAGGACCAGCCCTGTAGACACAATGAAAGATATGTGACTCGATCTGCTGCTATTTCTTAAAAGCAACCTAGGAGCTGCAAAGGGTTTGTGGGATCCAGTCGAAACCCTGCGAAAAGGTTTTCCTCCAGACCCTTTCCCAGAGATTACAGTCAGAACTGTCACAGCAGTGAACAAAAAGATAACATCCGAATTAACGGTTTCACTGCACAGAATGCTCTTCCTTCACCTCTGCCAGCCTAAGGGATGAATTAATGTAGGAGAGGGAGGCTGTTTCCTTCCCTTGTTTTTGCCCCTTAGTGCGTCCCCCTTTCCCTGATGCAACTGCTGCGGAAGGATGAGTGTGCAATGAGCTGAAAAGAACCTTCAACGTGATTTTTGTCCCTGCCTGTGCATCTGGGATGTAGCAGGCTAGTATGGTTTGTTTTCTCATCATGCACCACCAGGCAAATGCGGTGTGACTTTGTGAGGGTGTGTGTGAGCATTCAGGTGATCCCCCCATAACCCCTACTGCTGCCCGCCATCCCCCATCTTCTCCCAGCCCTCTGGGGATTAACTGGCGGTTGGTCCTCTGTATGGTTTCTTACGCAGCAGGATAGTAGTGTTGCCATGGTAACAGCTTCACAGAAGCTCCTCCAATTCTCCTTGTCGAAAGTGGTGTGTGTGCGTGTCTGTCTGTGTGTGTGTGAGAGAGAGATCACTGTGCTGGAGTTGGCCCAGATTTTTCTGGCCCCTGGGGAGAAAGGGGGGGAATGAAGTGACACCATTGCCAGCTCAGCCTTAATTTTTCTCCCACCTAAACATACGCCAAGTGAATATAGAATTATTCATATGCTGAGTATTCATCTTCTCTAATTTAAAAAAAAAGAATCCAGTTGTATAACGATTAGTGTAGCATATGCCAAACAAGCATATTTATACAAAAGTGCTTATTGTGCAAAATGTGACATTTGGTCTACTTTCTCTCTGAACCTGCCTGTTGACATTTTTAAAGAAATCTGGATGAGGTCCTTTTAGAAAAAAGTATAATGAGATTAGGAGAGGTTAATGAGTAAGAAATCATGTAGGATTCTTGAGGGAAAAGGAGTGAAAAAGCTGAGAGAGCCATACAGTGGAGCTCCATAAGCAGGTGGTTGATGGCTTGACCAATAAGAACTAGAAACATGGTCTCAAAGTAACGTAACTGTACAGTCTCAGGAATCCAAAATATGTCCTGGCCAGTTTCCAGTCCTATTTGGCAAGGATTGTAGGAACTGTCCTGTTGAAAGATCAACAATTCACCTAAGCACAGCATTGTCTCCAGATAGTTGGGACATGCTTAAGCCTCTAGAAGGAAACACAAACTACTAATCCCCAGAGTTTTCTAGTGCAAGTGGAGTTCTTTTAGGTCAGGTATTTGCTGAAGCATAGGCTAAAACCTGATTTAGAATGTTAAACTCCCAGAGAGATGAAAAAGCTGTGGCCCTCTAGACGTTGGGCAGGCTGACTAAAGTTGATGGCAATTGAAGTCAACAAATACCTGGAAGAACAGAGCTTCCCCAGCCCTGTTGTGCAATATGTGGTGCAGAAATATAGAAGACTAACTTTCACCGTATGTAATCACTCACCTGTTTGATAGTGAGAGATTGAAGTTTCACCTGGTATAAGCACACATTATTGTGCAGGAGGAGGTACCTGAATTTGCTTGATTTCTACTTAGTTCCTTCTATATCCTCATTTTATATTTGTGACTGTATGCCACTATTTAAATGGTATAACTGCTTTGAGTACATTGGGCAGAGGCACTATAGAACATCAAATATCGGCTGAAATCCAGTAGTAGTAAGTCACAACTAGAGTAGGCCCATTGAATCAGTGGGACTCTGGTAAGTCATCTCCTCTATAAGGTTCACTAAAACAGCCATTAAAACACAAGTATTTTTTAAAAACACAAACTACCTTAAACAAGGATTCCACAAGGGTGCCTACTATATAGATACACATACAACAAACTATTTGGTGGGAGTTACTTTCTTTATGTACATTTTGACACTGATGAGTTAATTAATTGACTAAAACAAACCTGATTAATACAGAAATACTTCTGTAACAAGATGACAGCTCTATTCTTTCCACACTTCTCTCTTTTTAAAAAGTATAGTTATTGACAAAATTTTGTGAATAACCTTTAAAAAAAACCCAGAAACCAGGCTTCTTTAATTGATTCCTTAAAGTCTGTTGGTGGAGAGAGCAGTATTTAAAATAAACAATGGTCTGAAATGTGTTGATAGAGCATAATACCTCTGTATTTCAGTCCTGTGGAGGTATTTTCAAGTTTAAACACACAAATACAAGATTGAGTGGTATCTTGTATTGGGCCACTACAAATCAAATAACCTGCTAGCTTTCATGGACAAATTTCCACTTCTTCAGGCTTAGCATAACCTATTAATTGATAATGCAGAAAAAATTTACAGAAGAGTCCAAAAATTGGTGGTACATGTCTGTGAGAGTTGATGTAAGTCATCTCAGGCTGGTCTCAAGCCTCTTTGCAACACGGCACAGTTTGGAATTTTTACATTTTCCTAGGACGAAAAGGCCGTTTCCTTGGTTTTTTTCTACACTATTTAACTACAGTGGTATAAAGCTCCCTCTGCTGGTTGAAAGACATAAAGAAATAAAAAAACATTGATTTCTTCCCCATAACCACTAAGAAGAGGACCTCTCAAGAGTGGCAGATTTATACACCAACTATATTTGAGGGCCTTAGATTTTAAAAGGCCTTTAAATACATTTTAAAAAACCCCAATACATTTCAAGTTTTACACTACATTATTGTTAGCATAATGAAACTTTAGAGTGGGGGGTGGGGAGGTAATGCCAAGAGGCTTTTCACAGAGCTGTAATAACTAGGTCAGCCAGTAATTTTAAAGGAATGACACTATGAGGAAGAAATAGAGGCAGGTAGGCCAGGGGCCTTCTACCCAGTCCCTTAAATTGGACTGTCTGCCACCTAGTTCTCTTGCAGTTTCCTTTTTTCTCTCTCTTCTTTCTGGTCTGGCAGCAGGTTGGCAAAGCTGTCTACTTGTGGACCACACATATAGCATAATGTTTAAGCTATTTAAAAAGTAATAATCATAAAGTATAATTAATTTGATTTTAATCTATGGATATTTACAGTTTGAAAATACATGATGCTTAACGAAAAGGAGGCTATCCTCAACACCTAGACATTTCACTCAGCTTGGTTTCTGGCTTTTGATGTTTCGGTGGGCGTTATGCTTGTAAGCAAGGCCTGCAAGCATCAGAACATTATCCCCTCCTTTAAAAAAAAGAAAAGAAAAGAAAGCTGAAATTTTTGCCCTGCATGCCACATCCTGCGCTTTTTCCAATATAAGGAAGTGTTTGTTTTGTTTCTTGTCCAATTCCTCTATGAGCTGTTCCTGTGGCTTTGTGGAATCTGGTGTCTTTTCCTTGATGTTATTAAAGTGATGGTGGATCTTTATGGAAGATGCAAGGGGGTCAGAGAAATATATTAGAGTTCTTTACAATTGTTTGCTACGTCTACCATCGGGGGTTCTCTTTGCAGAATGGGATGCACACCTAGAGATTTTAAGGTCTAGCAAGTAGAACAGTAAGCTGACTTGATAGCTCAGCAAGTTGGCTATGTGGCTGTGCAGCCAGAGGTTGACAATTCTGGCTTGTCCTTGGGCTGGAATAGGCTAAACAGGGTTGCTAGGAGATCTGGTATTCCATTTGGTGCAATCCTCAAGTGAACCTATTTAGTTCACTTTTTAAAAGTGTGTGTTAGGTATGTATTTAAGGTATGTCTATAGTCAAGAGCCTGCCTGTAGTCTAAATCTAAGACACATACCTAATACACATCTTAATACACTACTTTCCCTTGTCTTAAAGGTGGTGGATTCAATTATGGGCAGTTTCTCAACCAGTCCTTTAAGATTATGGAAAGAAAATACAGTATTTATTTTAAAAAGTAATGCAGTGCATTTTTGCTGCCTTAATTTTTTCCCCATTTTTTCTGACCCCTCACCAAGGAGCAGAAATGTTTAATTAGCCAATATCCTGAAGTGGCTCTCGTACTAAGCTGTGACTTCATTATACTGGTAAATGAAAAGAGGAAGGCTTTTGGTTCATTCCCAGAAATCACAACTCTCTTATTAAGCTATGACTTTATTATACTGGTAAGTGAAAAAAAGGAAGGCTTTTGGTTCATTCCCAGAAATCACATGTGATGGGAACAAACCAAATACAATCCTAACCCATACCCAAAAACTTGAAGCCTGTGACAGTGGTCAGAATGGTGTAGGTAGGAACGCTCTGGGAGCAGGCTAGTTTGCTCCAGAAAATATGTCATCTGATCACAGTATTTAGGAGGGAACCAGCCTGTCCCTGCAGCAAACCAAACAGCAGTGCTTGTGTAGTCAGGTTCTTTGATTCCCCACTGTGCCTCCCATAACAATAGCTAGCAAGCTGCATAGTCGCAGAACATCCCCAGAAGAAGGAAATGAACGGTAAACCACTTTTGAGTACTCTGTATCTAGTATCTCGCAAACCCTGACAAGAGTCACCATAAATTGGAACTGACTTGATGACATGCAACCACTATTATTATGTAGAGCAGTGAAACGTTTTCTTTCTTCCTCAGCACTCAGTAGCAGAGAAAATTCGGACAATCAGGAAGTGTCGGAGTCGGCCTCTCTGTAAGTATGGGTGCCCCACCAGAGCTGCAAAGAGAAACAAATGCAGTGACTGCTTTCATGCTACTATTCTCTGACATATGTTTGGTATACCTAATATACTGGGTACTGCACAGAATGTAAAAGAAATATATCTTTTGCCTGGAAAACTTACATTAGACAGAAAAATCAGAGATGAAAAAGTAACATCAGAGAATTGTTATGCCATACTGAAATTTCATCCAGTTCTGAAGCCCACACATTTTTAGAGTCTATATTCGCAGTTTTGATTAGATTCTTGCTTTTTCTTTAAAATATACAAGAGATTTTCTTAAAATTCTACAACCAACACAAATTTCATTCTTGGAAGTATTGTCATGGTCTTATGGCATACACACTGATCGCCATTTGTCTGGTTTGCTGACTTCCAGATGGCCTTATCAGTTTTGGATATCATAAAAGGGAAGCAAGGTGTTAATTATTTGCTGGAGAGACTATCAGTGCTTGAATCTTCAATCCAGTCTTGTAGGGCCTCTGCTCAGGACTGGAGAGCTAGTGCCATTCCAGATATCTGTGGACCCACAGTTCCCATCAACTCCTGCCAGACTATCTAATGGTGAAGGATGATGGGAGTTATAGTTCATCAAGATGCAAAGAGATTCCCCACCCCAATTCCCCCACTCTGAGCTTTTACTCAAAATAGCAGTATTTAACTGAGCTTGGAATTATGTTACCCGCAGACTGCAGAAAAAAAATGAGGTGGAAGGAGTGTGTGACTGGCACTGTTTTCCTTCTTCCCACAGGCCTGGAAATGGAGTCATCTCCCCAGCAGCTGCAGACAAAAGCTTACGTTCGGCAGTTCCAAGTTATCGACAATCAGAACCTGCTCTTTGAGCTCTCTCACAAGCTGGAGTCAAACAGCCAATAAGGCCAATGCCCGTAGGCAGACGTCGCTAGCAAAGAATGTTTACTCCACGCAATACTCAAGCACTTTTTAGATGTACGGGGGCCCTCCTAAAGTTTGCCGTGGTGGGGAGGAGAGCCTGGAGTCACCATACAGCAGGGATGGTCAGCTTTAGTCAGGGGTGGGCCAAGGCATTTTTGTGTTTGAGGAACAAATATAAAATGGCACATTGCCTTTCCACTAATTAACCTGATGAGACACCATCTGCCAGAAAGCTGTCCTGCCATCAAGGCATGTTGAGGCCAGAGGAGCAAAATCCAAATGGTACCTTCCCTACCCATTCACCCAAGCTGCCATTTTAATTATCTATAAATCTATAGCCTTTGTTCAATGAAAAAGCTAGCCCTGTCACCTCACATGACTCATTTACATTAATGGGAGCTACACAAGAGTATATTTGAGAGGCAGTTGTGTAGGAGAACTTCCCATAAGCTTGCAGCTTATTATTCAGAATAATCAAATCTCCCACTCTGCTGTACTTAATGGCATTCAAAATTTGCCACCCAAAGCAGCTACCTGACTTTGCCTCTTGGTAGAGTTGCTTCTGACTTTCTTTTTAGGGAGTTGTTAGGATTCAAAAGAAAAGAGCCACAGGACATGGAACAATGTTTTGTGCAAGCCAAAACAGGATTTCTTGACTTGCTTATAGGACAGCTGGCAATGGAGGTCACTGCCCTTTTCAGGCAGTTTCCCTTCCCACCATCAGCATAATGAAATATGTCCTTGAAAATTACATATGCGTGAGGCATATGAATAAGCATCCAGTGTTGTCAACTGGACACAGTATGACTGCCAGAAGCAGCATGTACAGAAATGTCAAAAAGTATTAACTTCCATTTTTAGTTCTCTTATTTCTATTATATTAGTGTACATTTATATTTCCATCTTAGAAAGGTCTGAGATAGAAACCCTTAAAAAAATACATTGTTAAAGATTACTCGTAGACTCTCTATAGAGTCTTCTCCGGGTAATGTCTTCACACACTATTGGGGAATAATGATTTAAAAATCTAGTGCAGGTAACTTAGAGGAGGAAATGTTTTTGCTTTTTGAAAATTAAAATTCCATTTTGACTGGCTGTGATGAATAATACAGCAATCAGGAATGTCCATTCTGTGGGATTTAAACACTTGGAGCTTTAGACTTTAAATACACATCAAACTCATATGTCTGCTATAGTTCCTTATTGGGGTGTGTCTAGACTTGATACTTTTAACTGGCCTAGAAATCATTCGAGATCGCCAAATGATTCCTGTTCTGTGCTGGGGTTAGGGAACAGAGAGTCCCTGGCATTCTCACCAAACTACAGTTCCCAGTATCTTTTTGCAGGGAGCCATGGTGAAGTAATGCAAACCATACATACCTTTGTGGTCTAGATGTATATATGTACTCTGTGGTTCTGACTCCTGTCTGGATGTCTTCTATATACACATGTGTTGAATATATTTATTTTGGAAAACTGGGTGATGGTGATGGGGAGAAGAAGCCAATTGCCTCTTCCTCTTGCAGTGAGTTTGCGATAACAGTCAGGATAAAGATTACTCTTAAGCCCTGAGGTCCCTGCTTTAGTATATTTGAAGGGCAATGAAGGGATAGGACAGGGGAGGTTGCATCTCTGTGGCATCATGGGGGCACTCATAGGAACACTAGAGAATCACTTTCTGGATGGTTACACAGTTACAACACAGTATTTGTTCTCACTCCTCCACAGTGCCTTAAAAAGCAGGGGTGGGGAACTTTCCTACAGTATTTGGCCCATGGCATCCTTGGTGATTACTCCGTAGCAATTAGGATTCTGTCATTCACAAACTGAAGCTTTTCAAGACGCCTAAATGCTATAAAAGGGGAGTGATTTAAGGGATCTGTTGTAGCTGGGGAAGAAACAGTGTGGTGTGCTGATGTGACTGTATATTTAACTCCAGACTGATAAACCCTAAATAAATGATCAAGATTAATATAGGCGTAAGGAGCTTTCCCACACACTTTAATTGAAGCAGCAAATTGAAAGTGAGATGCTTTTTTACTAGCCTTCAATCTTTGCCTGTAAACACAAACTTGATTTGAATTATACTAGGAGATTCTTAACCTCTGCTCAACATGATGACCCTAATTTTCAAAGCACTGAACTTAATCTGTTTTATCTATAGTGGCAATAGAATTAGAAATATAATTTATTTTGGATTAATTATTTAATCTAGTGTAAGACCTAGTGGTGCCTCCACTGACTTTCCACTTGGTTTTAGCAAACTTTCTGCAGAATAGAGTGCCAAACACATTCACACACACACATCCTCTCCCTCTGAAACAGGAAGTTTATTTTGCAATTCCTGAAGAGGTACTCAGAAAGAACTTGTTTCACAGTAGCCTTTCTCAACCTTGTGACCTCCAGATGACATCACCTACAGATCAGTGTGGTATAGTGGCTAGGAGTGTTGGACTAGACCTTGGAAATTTTGGGTTCAAATGCCTATTCATTTATGAAGCTTGCTAGGTGACCTTGGGTCACTCACAGTCTCTTAGCCTGAACCACCACGCACGATAACAAATAAAAATTAATAAATAAATAAATACTCTGATTAGTGTTCTGGAAGGAAGAGAGCTATTGGAGAAAAAGTGGGACATAAATACAGTACAAGTAAGTAAAATTACACTCCAGCTTGCTGTAGGCATTATAAACATCATAGTAATCCAACATGTCTGGAGGGTTTCAGTGGGGGCTGTTCATTGGGATCATAATGGCTCTTACAATTAGACATAAAACTCCTCATCTTGCCCCAGTCCCATAACTCCTGCATTCAAAATAAATAAAAAAGTCATGTCTCAGGGGTCCATCTCAGAATATGTATTCAGATCTGGAATCTGTTTTCAGTGCCATGCTTCAATCCTGGAAATGTGAAGTACATGATGAGTGCCTCTTACCACAGCTAGAGTGCATTTCCCACACTACCGAGTAACCGAAGCCCACTTCCACACAGGCGATAAGACTTTCAGGTTAGATGGAAAGACTTGAATCTTAGTGCTTCTCGTTTTAGAAGTGAACTGCTCTCCCAGCAACGTTTCTAACAGCTTTAATATTTGGTCTAGATTTTTGATATCAAAGAATAGGATACTAGAAGGATTTCTCTTTAAAATTGATTTTTAAAATTGATCTTGTGCTTTCCTAACCTCCTCCCTTCTCTTTGATAAAGATTGTTTTTATGTGTGGAGTGGGGTTGCCTTTAGTGGCTTTCTGTTCAGGGACTTTTTCGTTTCAGGGTCTCTCGCTTTTGTCTATATTTCTTTTTTCTCTCTCCTGGAGAGAGAGCATCAGGTCCTAATGCGAGGATATGTATATGAATATGTATATATATATTTTTAACAAGACACTCTTGAATTGTACATTTATTTTTTAAGAAAAGAGCCTTGTATCATACTGGACCATTGTACAGTGAATTTTCTACTGCTGGAATGAGGAACTGCTCGCCTACACACATAGCCCCATAAGCTTCGGCAAGGTGGAATGTAAGATGTGATGTGTTGTTTTGGGGAAGCTCAGTTTATTTTTGGTCTGGCTGTTGTTGCTGTTATTAATTATTATTGCTGTTGTTATTGTTTTGCTACAAAAGCACTTGGGTGAGAAACCATATGGTGGAAATAAAGTATTGTGAACAATAACATCAATTATTAGCTTTTGTGGTGACAGTCTAAATAATCTTTTCCCATATCAGAAAAAAACAAAACAAACAAGAGATAGTTGTGGCATTTTAAGGACTAACTACTCTATTTCAATATGGCTTTCGTGAATCAAGTCCAGTTCCTCAGTAGTGAACTGAGGATGGGTCTGAGGACTAATGGACTTGATCCACAAAAGTAACATTAGTATAGAAGTTAGTCTTTAAGTTGTCACAACATTTCTCTTTCTTTCTCTCTTTTATCTGATATGCTTGCACAGACTAACATGGCTACTCCTACATCTTCTCCCATAAAATCCTCAATATAGTGTGTAGTGGATAGAGTGACAGATTGTTTTTATCTTGATTGGAAGTGTAGGCACCTTCACTTGCAAAGTCAAAGAGACAAAGTGTATATATATGTGTGTTGATGTAAATATAAACACATCCCAGAACATAGTCACATTGTAACATATGTTACAATTAACTAAGGTTACCTTGATTTAAATTACTGTTCTGTAAGAATACTTTTTGCTCTATCTGTAAAGAGGTGTCCATGTTATAGTGTATTTCAGCATAGATAAAAAGGAAAAACAAATGTATTGTGGTATCTTAAAAAAACAGTTTTATTTCAGTGTAAGCTTTCATGGATTACAATCCACTTTCTCATGTTTTTGTTTTATGAGACATGGACAAATTTGTGTTCACACACATAAACATGCATACCTATACATGGGACTTGCAACAATACCTTGCCAACACTCTAAAATATTTTCACAAAACCATGTTCAGTGGCCATGGAATGCTTACTTTTTTGGGAGAAGCTATACAAAATTGGAGGGGATGATAATCCTGGAAAAAGGCATTAGTGGTTAAAATAAAGCGATTAATATTGCAACAAATAGCTGCATGTCTGACATTCTTAAAGGACACTGCTGAAGAATATTGTGCTATATTAAATGCCATTTTATCCAGAACAAAAAAGTTGTGTTGTCCTTGTACATAGTCTGAAACCAAGGGTGAGCAATGCCTTTATTGGATCTCTAAAATCTCATGGTCAGGCAGACTCTGGAGTTCCGCAGGGCATTTCATCAGTCTGGGCTGTTTCCAGCTGACTGGTGAAAAACAATGGCTTGGCAACACTAAGGAAAGTGGTCTAAGTGAGACCAGCTCCAGAGATATGGGTAGGCATCCTCCTTCCACATGTGGGCCTTTCAGCTATCCGTCATTTTGCAGAAGCAAAGAGAAACATGCTTTTTATACTTCTCACTAGCCAAGACTCTTTGTGTATTGCTTAAGACTCAAGTCCTGTCCTGCACTGTTCTAATAGTAAAGCCCACAAATGTGACATCAGCAATCCCAAATAGTCCTCCCTGTAATGTGAAATAGGAAGTGTTATGCTTCACAGCACCCTTCATGTTCCTGAAATCAGGCACCAAAGGCCAGAAGAAATAATCATCCAACCAGTCAGGATGAGAATGAGTGCCTAGTCCAAGATCACCGTGGGAGATTTAATTAACAACCACATCAACTGTGATACAGAAATAAAGCGAATAATTGACACAGCTAGAACAACCTTTATGAAACCGAATAAAATGTTGTTTAACAAAATGCTTAATATATCTTTGTGACTAAGGATGTTAAAGGGCTACATATAGTCAACCCTCCCACACACTATACAGTAGGACCTCCTTATCCTGGTATCAATATCCACCGATTCACTTATTCACGGTCTGGAAATACTAAAACTACAGTATTTAAAAGAACAAAGTTCAGAGGAGAAAAAAACTATTTTCACATGTATTACCACAACCAGCCACTAGAGGGAGGCAGAGACTGCTGTGGATACTTGTTAGGGAAGATGGATATGGGGGCGGTGTCCTACTGTACCTACCAGCATGCCTCCAGCTTCCATCCTGAACACACCACTAAATCTATTATAAACAAGTATTCTTAAAAAGCACCATTTGCACAAATATAAGAATAGCTCTGCATTTGGTATAGCTGCTAGAAAATAGGGGATATCAATCAAATACAGCACACATAGAGCTTAGACCTTCCCCACTTACCTGCCCAGTAGTTTTATCAAATTCGAAGTTTATAACAGCTGAGCCAGAAATGCAAAAACCTTTGCAAAAAAATGGCAAAAACCTTTTTCTCCGGACCACCTGCATCCCACCACTTCTTTTCCGCCGTAATATAAACAGCACATTTCATGCAAAACAACAACTCCCATGATCCTTTTGAGGCAGAATGAGTCGTGGCGGAGAGTGGACAGTGCCCTATGACATAATATCACTGCGCCCTTGCAGAATTGATTGGCACGGTCAGATGACAATAGTGGAGCTGACTGGGTGGGGGAAATTTCCCTATGGGGCTTTTGTGAAAGTAGCATGTCCTCTTTCTTCCATTGCGGTCTCAAACTAATAGTCGATTTGCGTTGCCTTGGAAAAAGAAATGACTCGTTCTGCAAATTATGATCCAGGCGCTTCGGGCGAGACCTCTCTCGTAGAGGCGCCGCTTGCAGTACAGTATTCGTGTAATAGAAGCACTGCTAAAAAGCCAGAGGTTTGTACCTCTCGGTTTGGTGGCGGATCCCCGCTTTATTTATTTATTTATTTATTTATTTATTTATTTATTTATTTATTTATTTATTTATTTATTTATGCCGCAATTCGTAGAGCAAGAAGACGTTTGGAAATCAGTACAACTCCGGCTCGAGAGGGCATGGTTGAGTGGGCGATGGACGTGGAAAGAGAAGCCGAATTAGCTTTCCTGACAACTTGGGATACTGTGTTTGTTGCCTGGGCTAATCAGTGTGAATGTACCTGAACGGGGTAAACTGAGAAAACTGGCCAGGTATGGGTGATACAGAACATCCCCCGCCAGTAAGAAGTAAAAACAGTCATGTAGCACCTTATCTGGCTCCCTTCACCCGAAGAGAGGTGCTTAGGACACGCAAAAGCTTATGAAAAAAAAATTAAAAACTAGTCTTGCTCGTGATACACTACTGGGGCTTTTAAAAATAAATTGTTTATTCAAAACACTAACGTTCAGTGACTCTGTTGTGTAAAAATATATATACTACAGTACGATTTATTAGATATTTCTGAGAATTTATACTATTGTAACAGAGCAGCCGTAAACCACCCCCTCTCACACGAATCTGTTCATGCGTCAAAGAACATGGGAATCCATCTCATGGCTGTTATAAACCTCTTTTCCTGTACCAGTTTTGTCTACCTCTAATCTACCATTACAACCATGGATTATGTCATACGGATTTAGAAGTACTGTACTGTAAA